GAGCAAACCTGCTACAAGTTTGAGAATTCTTACCAACTGTTAAAATTAATAGGTTAAAGATAAGCTTCAGTGATATGACCAAAGACCAATGACAGCAAGTAACTTATATATGTCCCTTCTATTACACAAAATATCAAACCCAACAATATAGCTGTGATTGGAGAAGTGAAATCACCATGTCTGTCTACATGTCAGTGGATCTGTCTACATATCTGTGCTGCATCTAGTTTGTAGATGCTAATGTAAGTTTTATTCTTTGCTTATCTACAGTTGTAAATCTATGTTGGATACATGCTTCAGATGCTGTTGCTGACCTACATATTATGCTTCAATGACTCTGGATTAGGGTTACAGATGTATGTATTAGAGATTGTTTGTCACATGTATGTATTAGAGATTGTCAGCTGCATGTATTAGAGCTTGTTAGATGTATGTATTAGAGATTGTTAGATGTATGTATCAGAGATTGTTTGTCAGATGTATTAGAGATTGTTTGTCAGATGCATGTAATAGAAATTGTTTGTCAGATGTATGTATTAGAGATTGTTTGTCAGATGCATGTAATGCATTTTTATTGTTTGTCAGATGTATGTATTAGAGATTGATTGTCAGATGTATGTATTAGAGATTGATTGTCAGTAGAGCTGGGACGATATATCGAGATATCGATAATATCGATTCAATGTGAGGATGATACGCATATCGATACATATGAAGAAATATCGACATATTGCCCAAAAAATTCTGACTAATGTTTTTCTTTGTTTACTTAACATTTTGGGTTTAATATGTAAAATAAATATGCTTAATATAAATATAAATATGAAATACATAATAATTAAGACCACTTGTGCAAAATAATTAAGTTTTACAACAGATATACAACTTCTTTGAATAAATTATTCTTATATGTGAAGAAATGTTTTGTTCACTTCAATATAAAAAAGAATTTATAACCAGTTAAACATATCGTGATACATATCGTATCGTGGCTCAAATATCGGGATACGTATCGATATAGAAAAAGTTGTATCGTCCCAGCCCTAATTGTCAGATGTATGTATTAGAGACTGTTTGTCAGATGTATGTATTAGAGATTGTTTGTCAGTTGTATGTATTAGAGATTGTCAGATGTATGTATTAGAGATTGTTAGATGTATGTATCAGAGATTGTTTGTCAGATGCATGTATTAGAGATTGTTAGATTATGTATTAGATATTGTATGTGAGATGTATATTATTAGAGATTGTTTGTCAGATATATGTATTAGAGATTGTTTGTCTGATGTATGTATTAGAGATTGTTTGTCTGATGTATGTATTAGAGATTGATTGTCAGATGTATGTATTAGAGATTGTTTGTCAGATGTATGTATTAGAGATTGTTTGTCAGATGTATGTATTAGAGATTGTTTGTCAGATGAATGTATAAGAGATTGTCAGGTATATGTATTAGAGATTGTTAGATTATGTATTAGATATTGTATGTGAGATGTATATTATTAGAGATTGTCAGATATATGTATTAGAGATTGTTTGTCTGATGTATGTATTAGAGATTGTTTGTCTGATGTATGTATTAGAGATTGATTGTCAGATGTATGTATTAGAGATTGTTTGTCTGATGTATGTATTAGAGATTGATTGTCAGATGTATGTATTAGAGATTGTTTGTCAGATGAATGTATAAGAGATTGTCAGGTATATGTATTAGAGATTGTTAGATTATGTATTAGATATTGTATGTCAGATGTATATTATTAGAGATTGTTTGTCAGATATATGTATTAGAGATTGTTTGTCTGATGTATGTATTAGAGATTGTTTGTCTGATGTATGTATTAGAGATTGATTGTCAGATGTATGTATTAGAGATTGTTTGTCAGATGTATGTATTAGAGATTGATTGTCAGATGTATGTATTAGAGATTGTTTGTCAGGTATATGTATTAGAGATTGATTGTCAGATGTATGTATTAGAGATTGTTTGTCAGATGTATGTATTAGAGATTGTTTGTCAGGTATATGTATTAGAGATTGTTTGTCAGATGTTTGTATTAGAGATTGTTTGTCAGATGTATGTATTAGAGACTGTTTGTCAGATGTATGTTTTAGAGATTGTTTGTCAGATGTATTAGAGATTGTTTGTCAGTTGTATGTATTAGAGATTGTTTGTCAGATGTATGTATTAGAGATTGTTTGTCAGATGTATGTATTAGAGATTGTTTGTCTGATGTATGTATTAGAGATTGTCAGATGTATGTAATGTATGTATTAGAGATTGTTTGTCAGATGTATGTATTAGAGATTGTTTGTCAGATGTATGTATTAGAGATTGTTTGTCTGATGTATGTATTAGAGATTGTCAGATGTATGTAATGTATGTATTAGAGATTGTTTGTCAGATGTATGTATTAGAGATTGTTTGTCAGATGTATGTATTAGAGATTGTTTGTCAGATGTGTCTGTAGAATGTTCTGTCCCATATTTTTTTTCAGAAATGCCCAGTGGATTTCTATTTGACATGCTAATGTTAAAAAACTTAAATGATTAAATACAGTGATAGATTTTAGTCAAATTTAGCCAAAAGTTCCAGACTCGGAAAGTTGCTAAATAAATTTTAGACTTTTCTTTACATTTTCATCTCAAAACACACAGCTGAGGCCTGATCAACAGAGTGAACGTTTGCGATCGCTCGCCTAAATTCCTTATCCCTCCAACAGAAATGTTCACGAGTGCTTGTGAACATTCGTTCTGTTGAACAGGCCTCTGAATTCATTCCTCAGTTACAAGATCACTATCAATAATACCATCCCTCAGACATAATTGAATGTTTTTATCCCAAACCACGTATATGTCTGGGTTAACTTATGACCTCCTGTCCCTCCATCCTTCCAACCTCATGTCTGTCTGTCCATCTGTCACATTTGTGTTTAGCTCAATTTAAAAGAAGGTATTCAAGATATATTAACCAAAATTTCTTACATAGATACATATTGGTCAGAGCTATCACCTGTGTCGTAATTTTCTCACCTTGGTCTTTCCCATGATACTCAGACCTCCTTTATGACTTATTTCCTCATAGATTTAGCTCCAAGATATTATTCCCAAGATAATTTTATCATTACTCATAAAATGTAACATATTGATGGGAGCTATTCAACTGTGTCACAATTTGTTGACTTGACCTTCCATGTGAACTTGTCCTCGTTATTTTTCATTTTGCATTTACCTAAGTTTGAAAGAAACTTTTTTTTTCAAAATGTTTTCATTGAACTTCATACACTGGTAACTTCCTTAATTCATACACATTCTTTATATATGTTAAGTATGCACATTTATCATCAGAGTTCAGAATAAATATTTATTTTTAGTACATTATGTAAATAAAAAAAAATATATATATATATTTTCAAATTTAGTAAAAATATTTTTTGCATTTGAATCCATATAGTTGGTATATTTTCAGATTCATCAAAGATGAGGATGTTTTAAGATTAATTGTGCACAATTAATGTATTGCGACATTTTTTGTCTGGAGATGACCTCTAAATCTATTTAAAGTCTCATTTCAAATCTTTCGGAATTGTTACATGTGAACCAGTGCATTAGGAATGTCACTTGAATCACTTCTGACTTGATTATTAAAATTAAGACTGTTTCATTTTTTCATTAAAAAGTAATTAAGTCTTCTGTTTTCTAATGGCAGACTTTATACTGATTTGCTGATTTTAATGTTTTACTATATAATGAATATACTATTTTTATGATTCAATTGAGTGTGTGTGTGTGGGGGGGGGGGTCTTTTTCTTCTTGAACAGTTCTAGAGAATTCTTGGGGTTGGGGAATGATATTGATCCCTCTAGAACATTCATGAGAATTCTGTATTTGACTTCGACCTTTCCTTAGATCAGTTTTAAATAAATCATTCAAGATAGTGTTATCAAACTTAATATGCTGATACGTATTAGTGAGAGCTGTTCTTAGTTGAACTGCATCAAAAACTTTTGACCTTGCATTTTTCTGTGACCTTGACCTCACTTTTGTTTAATTTGCATTTTTCTTAGTTTTAAAGAAACCATTTAAAATATTTTTATGTAAGCTTATGCACTTATACATAATTTGGTGAAAATTTAACATCTATATCCAACTTTTTAGATTTCAATTTAAAGAAACTATTCAAGATATTCTCATCAAATTTCATACACTAATACAAATTTTCATGTTGCATTACTAATATACCCTGGGGAGGGGGGGGGGGGGCATTCATGTCCTATGAACATATTTCCAGTCTTTTTTTTTTTTTTTTTTTTTTTACAACAGATTAATGTAGAACAGAATCTCCGGCTCAAAGTTTAATGAAACGTATGCTCAGAGACAGTGTGTTTGATCTGTTTTTAACAAGCATTATTCTACAGATTTGTCTAAAGTGGGACAATATGTGTTTTACTATCAGCAAATACTGTAAATATTGTATTGTACTATACATTTATTGACTGGGTTCAAGGACAACATGCATTTTCTCTGATCCAAGAACCAAACTATTTGCCTGAGGCTGTTCGGCCAAAGGCAAACAGTTTGGTTCGAGGGGTTGACAAAACGCATTTTGCCCAAGAAGTCAGTCAATAAATGTTTTGTTATACCTTTTATTTATTTATTTTTTTTTTTTTGCTTCCATGATGAAAATTTTCTTTACCAGCACTGCGGTAAAACTCGGTCAATTTTGTCACTGCTGAACACAATATTTAGCTGATACCGCCCACAGCGTGACATTAGCGGTCCAATATTTCATCCACAGGCTCACTCTGAGGTCAAACATTGATTTTTTTATGACCACTCAGGAAAACATTGGAAATATTAGACTTTTTTAGTATAAATTTTTATAGGAACCAAAGTTGAAAGGTATAACAATGTGAATTATGTGTTGTACTAAAATCCTGTAAATCTAATATGTGTTTCACTGTCAGTAGTATTTACTGTAAATTTTTTACCTTTTATAGGAGAATACCACCAGGTGAAGATGGAGAACGGAATGGATTCCGCTGTAAACAGTGGAGTGACGTATCTCAACAAGGGCACAGATGACCAAATGGTAAGGCAAGCATGAATGACCTGGTTAAATCATGTTCATTGTAAATTTTAAAGAAAAAATTTATTCAATATATTTGAAACATTAGTTGAACTTCGGTATTTTAAACAATGATACATGTATTCCAATACCATGGTTTTGTTTAAGGTAAGTACATGTATAAAAAAAGGTAACTTGTTTTGAAAATGCCATGTTGACAGTCTCACCAGAAAAGCTCCTTGCAATTTTGTGTGTGTGTGTGTCTCGGGGGGGGGGGGGGATGGGGGGGGGGGGCAAGCTGCATGAATTTGATAATGATAAAACTGTAAAATGCTTGTGATAGAAGTCTAAGCCAGTTCCAGGTGAGCCCAAAGTGGTCATAGTCTTAAAAAACTCACGATATTCAGGTGACCATTGAGGCCCAGGAGCCTCTTTTTTTCAAATCATAGAGTATGTAGAAAGAAGTGGCAATGCCACACTAAATCATATTGATCAAAGTTATATGTATTTGTAGGAAATATCTGGCTATAAACTAAACAAGATGAAGAGGTCCCTTGTATACCTGGGGTATCTACTGACTGGTGGAATTTTACCCTTGGTTTTGTACTGGTGCCCACAATGGTACATTAAGTGTACTCACACTGAGACTCAGCTGTCAGATGCCACTAAAGTATTACTCAAGGTAAAAGCTCTTTTTTGTTTTGGTTTCTTTAAAAAACCAGGTCAAACACATTCAACTTTTTGAGTCCATGAATTATAAAGTTAAATACTCTTAGATCCAGTACTTCACCATGATAAAGTTATTGTAAGCTTTTTTTCTTGACCTTTAGCATCAGTAGAAATGTCAGCTTCCTATGTTTGAATAAGTGTTTTGGGCAGGTCTGTTTCCAAGAAACTATAAATCTTACCAAGACCAGAATAGAACAAATGAATCAATAAAAGGTACATTTGCCATTATGCTTCATATGCTTCAGCGATTTTTTTCTACCCATTGGGAAAGGGTCTGGTACCGGTTCAATTGGGAAAAATAGAATCGAAGTAGAAAAAGGAGAATTTTCTGTCATTTAAACAAATGAAATGTATTTTGCGTTTATTCCAACCTCATTACCTAATACTCCGTGTTTCAAAGAATAAACAACAAGTATTATTGTTTTCAATATCAATGTCCCTTGTTTTCGCATTTTCATGCTTTCAATTTGTCAAAATGTATGACACTACACTGTTTACACCACAGGTCCCACCATATTACGACTAATCTTTACTTTCGATTTCAGCAGAAGTGAAACTTTTAGTCAACTTGTACAATGTTTCATTTAAAAAGAAATACGATGTCATCGTAGTCTGTTGCTTGGCAGTTGAATTGGGAAATTTTAGTCTCAAAATTGGGAAAAATTAACGTTTTTTGGCATTGGGAATGGTACCATTTATTGGTACCAGTTATATAAGGAAAAAAAAACGCTGTGCTTCTTGTATCAAATTATGATTGAGTGATAAGAGTCACTGTTTTTAGAGATGATATGTTCTCAACCAGTTACAAGTTATGACTATACTTAGTAAAACTTGCAAAGAATATATAATTCTTGTGCATTAGTTTATTAGCTCACATCAGCTTAGTCAAGATGAGCTTATGCTATACCCCAGAAGTAGGCTTCTGAGTTAAAGTCCATTCTCAAGTAACTATAACCTCTACCCAGACCAAACATGGGTGATGCATTCGGATGCTGGATATAACCTTCATTTTCCATATGAATGAGCAAGTTAATGTTTTTGGAGCTGGTATATTCCCAAGTAACTATAAGCCCTACCAGGAACAAATTTGCAGGGATGTTGCATCTAGGGATGTACACTTCCAGACTTGCTTCGGATGCTGGATATGACCAACATTTTTCAGATGAGTGAGCAGGGTAAAGGTTTTGGAGTTAAGCTCTGTACCCAAGTAACTATAAGGTCTGTTATGACTAAACTTGCGTGGATGATGCATCTGGATTGGAAATTAACAGATTTACTTTGATACTGGATCTGACCTACATTTTTCTGGTGAGTGAACATGTTAAAGTTTTTGGAGCAGGTGCAAATCAAAAAAATTGGTACCTAAAGTAAGGTCTTGTCCCGAGGAATATACCTGTGAAATATGAAAGCCCTAGCAGCAACCATTGAAAAGATATGGAAAAGGTTAAAGTTTTTTCAAAAGTATGTCAAACATCAAGGTCAAGGTTAATTGGTCAAAATTAATGGTGCCCAAGGAAAGGCCTTCTCACAAGAAATACACAGGTAAAATATGAAACCCCTAGCACCAAATATTCATAAGTTATGGCCAAGGTTTAAGTTTTCCAAATTAGGTCAAACTCCAAAGTCAAAGGGTCAAAGTTGTTGGTATCCAAAGTAAGGTCTTGTCTCAAGGAATATACGTGTGAAGAATGAAAGCCCTAGTACCAACTGTTCAAAAGTTATGGCAAAAGTTAACGTTTTTCAAAAGTAGGTCAAACTCCTAGGTCAAGGTCAAAGGTGCAAAGTTGTTGGTATCCGAAGGAAGGTTTTGTTACAAGGATTACATACATGAAGTATGAAAGCCTTAGCATCAACTGTTCAAAAGTTATGGCCAAGGTTAAAGTTTGGTAAAATTTTGCAAAACTAGATCAAACTCCAAGGTCAAAAGGTCAAATATGATGATACTCAGAGAAAAGTCTTGTCACAAGAAATATACATGTGAAATATGAAAGCTATAGCTCCAACCAATCAAAAGTTATGGGCAAGGTTAAAGTTTTTGCAGACAAACAGACAGACAGATGGAGGGACAGGATAAAAACTATTATTTCCTAAGTAGCTTGTAACACGAACTTTGATTGGTTACAAAGTCGGGTGTAAATTTTTGTACACCCGACTTGAGCAGGGGGTAAAAAACGTGACATCACAGTGCATAGTTTCTCCATGATAAAAAGCAAATAACATGACGTCACGATGCATTGTAGGACATAGTAAATCTTATTGATAGCTTGAAACACATTTGATTGAACTTATTTACAAAGAATTTATTTGGGTACATAGGAAATAAATTCGTTATCCAGGTCCAATCAAGGGTGTACTTGGATTTACCCCGGGTTGTATTCCATACACCCTTAGGCCTTCATATATCCTTGATTGGACCTGGATAACTAATATATGCCCTCGAATCTTCGATAACAGGGGCATAAATATACACACAAACAATGCAAATACACAAACCTAGGCTTTTAAGAGGTGTGGCCACTTTCTGCATACTTAATTTGGAGAAAGAGGGAGATTGGATTCTTTGATATCAATTTAAATCTTCAAGGATTAAACAGCTATTTAGCTATTAATACATACTGTTTTTGAAACATTTCAGGATCAGTATGAACGGTGGTTTGTAGCTGAGGTGGTGCTAATCACCAGAGATGGTACAAGGTGAGAGGAATACTATCATGTTGCTATTGTACTCGGTTTACTCTGAATTCACACAGCTGTCCTGTAAATTTTTAATTTTTTTAAAAACAATATTATCGTTTTAGTATATGGTAACCAAGGTTATTAACAAGCTTATATTTTTATAAGTCAAACTCCAGGTCAAGAAATCAAAAATGTTAGTACCCAAAAGAAAGGTCTTGTCTCAAGGAATATACCTGTGAGATATGAAAGCCCTAGTACAAACCTTTGAAAAGTTATGGCAAAGGTTAAAGGTTTTTCCAAGTAAGTAAAACGGCAAGGTCAAGGTCAAATGGTGTCCAAGGGAAGTTCTTGTCACAAGTGATACACATGATCATGAAATGTGAAAGCCCTAGAACCAAACGTTCAAATGTTATGGCCAATGTTAAAAATTTAAAAGTAGGTCAAACTCCAAGGTAAAGGTCAATGCCAAAATTGTTGGTATCTAAAGGAAGGTCTTGTCACAAGGAATATACAAGTGAAGTAGGAAAGCCGTAACACCAACTGTTCAAAAGTTATGGCCAAGGTTAAAGTTTTTCAAAAGTAGGTCAAACTTCAAGGTCAAGGTCAAAGGGTCAGAGTTGTTGGTATCTAAAGGAAGGTCTTGTCACAGGGAATGCATTTGTGAAGTATGAAAACCATAGCACTAACTGTTCAGAGGTGATGGCCAAGATAAAAATTTTCAAATTTGAAGTAGGTCAAACTCCAAGGTCAAGGTCAAAAGGTCAAAATTGTTGGTATGCAAAGAAAGGTCTTGTCACAAGGAGTACACATGCAAAGTATGAAAGACCTAGCTCAAACTGTTCAAAAGTTATGGTCAAGGTTAAAGTTTTTTCAACAGTAGGTCAAACTCTAAGTTTGAGGTCAAAGGGTCAAAGATGTTAGTATCCAGAAAAAGGCTTTCTCAGAAGGAATGCACTTGTGAAGTTTGAAAACCCAAGCTCCAAGTGTTCAAAAGTTATGGCCAAGGTTAAATTCTCAAAAACCTTTGCAAAAGTGGATCAAACTCCAAGATCAAGGTCAAAAGGTCAAATGTGATGGTAACCAAAGAAAGGTCTTGTCACAAGGAATAAACATGTGAAATATGAAAGCCATAGCTCCAACCAATCAAAAGTTATGGGCAAGGTTAAAGTTTTTGCAGACAAACAGACAGACAGACAGACGGATGGACAGGGCAAAAACTATATGCCCGGAATCTTTGATTATGGGGGCATAAAAAAACCCAGGTAACACAATCATGGTAAATTGAAGAAGCACTATAATCAACATTCAGATGATGCTTTGAATACAAATGAGTTGCTGAATTTTAATGAATGAAATCAAGATACTGTTTTAATGATATTTTCTATAGGTTCAATTTTGAAAGGGTCAGGGGATTATCAGGAAAAAATAACAGCTGAAAAAAAATCTTTCACCAGCCCCAACGAAAAGAGGATTTTTTTAAAGATTTAATTATATACTAACTAGCAAAATCACAAAATGTTACAATTTTAACTCACCATCTGTGTGTAGTTGACTTGGTGACCTCATAGAATAAAAAAAATCAAACCGTACACAGTTAGATAAAAGAAACAAATGTTAAATAAAATCTCTTCTTCCTTTTAATGACTTCCTGCTTCTGATTAGATAAATAAAATCAGTGACATTTAAAGTTTACTCTTAGTCCTGATTTGTTTGTACCAGTTTCTCTACATATTTGACTAATACTTTTTTGTCATCTTTTATATGATTATAAACTAGCAGTCATAAAATGATTTTATAAAATACAATTCTCCATTTATTCTAGACAGGAAGTTTGAAAAAAGTTTAAGGAAAACATAAAAATATATATCTGTTAAATGTATAAACCATTAGTTGTGTTTGACAGTGTGAATATGTACTGTAGAATGTAATTCCTAGAGAGTGTCAGGCATATCAACTGTTGTAGCTAATGTAAACCATGCTAACCAGACACTAGAGACTTTAACAGTCTGAATCTATTTAAGGATATAACTTTCTCTTAACTAGCCTACCCAGAGTTTTGACGAATTGTACTTTCAGGAATTCTAATATAATGTATGTGAAATTGGGACCAGAATTTTGATGTTGGAGATGCAAAAAAAGAGAGAAGATTTTGGGTCAAAAGTCAGTGTAAAGGATGAGGTCTGTTAAAATAAATGTTAAATGTTTTTATGATGCGAATGAAAGTACCATTCTGTTTTAGAGTCAAAATAATTCGTCCACCCCCAGCATTTTTTTTCACCAAGAAACGACGGAAGGCTACTGCAGATCTTCTACAGAGAGGGGTAAGTGTGCTTTGTCAAAGAAGCAAAAATAACTAAAAAATATACCAATAAAGACATTGTTAAAATTTTTCTTGCACACATCCCCCCCCCCCCCCCAACAAAAATTAAAAATTCAGAATATAAAAAAAATCATAGAATTTTATCTGAAAGTTGAGGCTAGGAAAGCATAGATAAATTGTGTATTCTAATTGTTTAGTGAAATCTTGAAAGTTCATGTAGTAATGGAGACTACTTAAAGCATCAAAGTACATATATACGAGGGGTTATCAAAAAGTTCGTGGACTAGCACCATAAAATTAAAACCGCTTTAAATACATCAATGAATTTTAATACATTTAGCTAGCATCATCTTTTCTATCTATATAATAAACCATAAATCATAAAATATTTTTTTTAATAAATTGTAAATGTTTTTGTAAGCAATGGTATGTTCAAGCGGCGCAACCTCAAATATGACGTTTTTTCTACCTGAGTGTAACTGAGAAAAACTCTTTTGATATGAGCATTTGTCATCCAAAAATCCAATTAATTCAGGCATATGATACAACACAATTGTTCCGTAAAATTTTCAATTTTTACCCCATTCTGTAAATTCTATTAAATTTTATCGTAAATTTTATATGGAGTATCCAAACAATTAAGGACTTGAAAATGACGTCAAAAAGGGGGAGGGGTTTCTGTTTCCAACATTCTTTAAAGTTTCGCACCTGGAAAAACTGGTATAGACCTAGAGAATGTTTAAATTGGCTACAGAAAAATAAGATACACCCAGAGTACTCATTTTAAATACCCAAAAAGATTCAGAGAGTTGAAAGATGCACAGTTAAAGTCAATTTGTAGTCAGGGTGTCAAAAATCAGTCACGTCGAAAAGTGACGTTGATCATGTTTGGTAAAATTTGAACTCCAACAAGCTAAGTATTCTGACATAATCAAGTGAGGATCTTTCCTTATATATAGATACATTTACAATATTATATGCATTGAAAGCAGCTGTTCATGACATTGTAAAGTCATATAAACATAAGGGCTTAAGTCCTTAATTAACTCCAAGTAATCACATCAAGATAAGTGTATAAGGTAGACGGAGTGGACATTGAGAAACAATGAGAAGCAATGAGGTTGTCGGACGTCATGAAACTAAACGGCGACTGCGTCGGATGATTATACGTCTTTTTTAATTTAGAATAATTTGGCAAATTATCAACTTATTAAGCTAAAATTTTCAACATTTCTTAAACTTTTGTTGACTTATGATTTTCATAAATTTTATAAGCACAGACTACATAGTATTAATTTTATCGCATCAGTCCACGAACTTTTTGATAACCCCTTGTAAGAATTATAAAAGTATTTAAATGGAGGAAGGCATGTAATTTTTATCTCTCACTCTCTCTCTCTTTTTTACAAGAAAAACATATGTAATTACGTGCATGTGTAAATTGAGAATATATTTTTGGAGCCAGACTGTCATTGGTTGAACAATCAAAGGTCAAAACTGTCTTTAGCTGATACAGGTATATTTCAGTGAGCCAAACTGTTTTAGAATTGAGCCAAAGTGTCCACAAATAGACTATATAAGAATACCAATGTATAGACTTTCATCAAGAAGTCTAGCATTTGATACTGTGATAGCAAGCCTGATTCAATGCACTGAAAATTGAGACTGTGTAAATGTTGAGTTTAGAGATCATGTACCAATAAGAGATTTCATTTATTCTATGTATTTGGGAGACAATTGGGATGGGGTTGAGCATTGAAGCCTGATAGCCTGTTGTAATGACTTATTTTCCCAATATTATAGACTGATGAAAATCTGTTGAGGTATTTTATGGTGAAGAAAGTAAAATATTGCTGGAATTATGAATCTCAGGAATTCCAAAAACTCAAGTAAGCATTGTTGCAACAAAATATAATTCATAGAACTGGCCTCATAGACAAAAATGAAAAAAACTGTATTTCTAAAAAATCCCTGTAATGCCATACAAAATGAAGTTTTTAACAATTTAAGTATTTATATAGATGCTTTCATGATGAGCTATCAGTAATTCATGTAATGAGAAACATTCTGGTTTACTGTGATTTGTGTGTGTTTTACTTTTCAGAGGTCTGGAGGATATTTTAACTTGTTCACAGCTTCATACTTCACAGGGTCTGTCTGTCACGGAGGTGTGTCGCAGGTAGGGAATTTTTCAATGCTCTTAGATATATATATGTACATAAAACTCTTATGAGCTAGATCTTTCCATTGTAAAGTACTAGACAATATATCGTCTGTATCACATATAAATAATCTCAAAGTAATCTGGAGACTTGTGAACCTATCTCATCATTCTGCTTGTATAGTAGTATAGATTTTATTCACACATAATTGTTTCTTTTTTTCCCCTGCTAGACGGGTTACATATGGTGCTAACTCCATTGCTGTTCATGTTAAACCAGTTTTATACCTATTGTTTAAAGAGGTATTACTTATATATTATTTATGTATTTTTGTATTGTTTATGTTGATACAGCAGTATTAGTTCATTTAATTTCTCCATAGCATAGGGTTTCTGATCTGTTATTTGCCTCAGAAACCCTTTCCCTGGGGTGTCATTTAGAAGTCAGGATTGCTTATGTCACATGATCTGAAATCCTACATACATCTCTACTCATTATACAATCATGTACATAGGTTGCATCATTGACCAAAAAAGAACATTTTAAAATTGAAGTACATCTAAAGAATATTCAACAAGCTGAAATTGAGAGATATTATTGCAGGATTCAAATCTAGATATTTGTAGTATAGATACTAGTTGACATTATATCCAAGTCAACTCATTAAATATATCACTCTTTATAGAATGGGTTATAGTGAAGCATAGAACATACTGTAGATCACTTTTTATTCACGAGAACTTTATTTTTGCGTAATTACGCGAGACAGCCTGCTCATGAAAATTTAATTCTCACGTATATTTGTAGTACAAAAGATTATATAGAACAATAATCAGAGTTTGTGAAAATTATATCTCACTTATAAATACCTAATGGCCATCTTGCGAAAATAATGTGTCACCAAAATTTGGTGATCTACAGTAGTCATGAAACATCCTGAATGGTGTTAATGTCAATGACTATAACTTTGCAACACACCAACAGATTGATCTAGCAATATTGATATAGAGTCAAATCTCCTGAAAAACATCCCAGACTTGATAGTATGATAGAACAAGGGTTTGTGAGGCATGTAGCAGATCATAACCACTTGGCTGAGGATGAGTTCTTTGATTCTTGAGATGTATAAAAGTATTATTTATATATTAAATACAACATTTAATTCTTTTGATTTACTAGATGAATGATGAATTGTAAACTAATCTTGAATCATAAACTAATCTTGAAGATTTCCCATACCCTCTATTGAACCTGATGACTATAACTTTAAGTATTGAGGAGCTTTTATATGGTTTTATGTAAAGTAAACAAAAATCCTCCCTTTTCCTGATTTTCTTACTAAAACAAAGAAAACGTAATTTTTTATGCACTTCTTTCAGTAAAACCGTAAATCAGTTGATTATAAAAGAAAAATCAGTTTTAAAAGTCTTATCTTTTGTTTAGCAACATTTTCTGTGATAGAAATATTTAAATTTTTGTGATGAAAGGTGACATATATTGAAACAGTCTGGGTTCAATATACAGTAAAACATGCTTATAACGAAGTGCTAGGGATGGACGATTTTGCTTCGTTATAAATGTAATTCGTAAAATCTGTTAATATCACAATATATTTTAGAGGCATGGGGAATAAAAATTTACTTCACTGTAAGCTTCAATTCATTATAAGCGTGTTTGCTATAAGCGTGTTTTACTGTACGATTATTTTCAGGTATTGTCACCTTTCTATGTGTTCCAAGCCTTCAGTGCCTCAGTGTGGTTTTCTGACGAGTATGAAATCTATGCTGCCTGTATCGTCTTTCTCTCCACTTTGTCAATCATTGTTTCCATTTACCAAACCAGAAAAGTAAGTGTTACAGATTTCCCCCCAACCATAAACAACCCACAGATAGGATCACCCTAATTTATGCCCTAAATATTATATCTATACGTCGTGATTTCATATGTTGATATCATGATATCACCAACTATTGTATGTTATTAATGTATGCTTTATGTTTCAACTATTATGTATAATTCATGAATATCGTCTGCATGTATTGTACAAACCCGAATTTCCTCCATAGATCAGCCGTCTCGTAATAACAAATGGCCACCTGGCTATGTTATTCGACTGACATACCCAAAATCAACTTGGCATCGTCTCCAAAACAATTTCCAAACAACATCTCATCCCTTTTCCCGCATTTGTAATGCTAAAGCCTTTACTTGGTGCAAAAGTTGTAACTATACAAACATCGCACGAATACTAGCGATACCGCTTGTTATTCGTGCGTGAAGTAATTCGCACCGTTGTACGAAAGGTATATAAAGGCGACGTTTTGAACATCCTCTTCAGTTTGGGACGTTGGTCAGTCGTATTAACACCTTGACTGAACTGCTCCAATATTCCCAACTCATTTACACCCATAATTATGGGTAAGAATCTGATGCCACCCATATGTTTTCATTGGGTAAATTTATCCATGGGTGACCCAACCAATTATTGTTATATATACGTCCTGACCCATTACCCATAATTGCTTCTTGATTGTATTTATTAATTATAAATTATTGTTTTAATAAATTCATTTTTAAAGTTAAACAAATCTCTTTAATTAATTAAGGTAAATCTCAGAAATAAGAGGACCCACAAACAATATTCGTAACCCATCAAGCGGGTAAAAGAATATTCAAAAACAACAGCTATACCCCACAACGTTACATAAGCATTTGTAACTATAGCAATTGTTAAATTCATTTGCTGTTATTAAATTAATATTACATCCACTCCTATGATATAGCTATACATAAGTGGATCCAACATTTTATTTAGGCCATATTGTTGCCAAAAGAAAACTTTAGGACAGCTGAGCACTTCATCTGTTACATATGCATACAGTGATGTGAAATTGTTTTTTTTCCTCATTTTTACAGATGCAAAGAGCACTTAGAAATACCATTCAGTCATCTACCATTGTCAGCGTGTGTCGAGAAAATAATGGTATGTTTTAGAATATTTATATTTTTGATATAAATGATTGATCTGGAGACATTAAATAAGAAATTATTTCTTAGTTTAATTGTCCAGCCTCATTGTGACTTATATCCTGGTACTGTTCTTTACAGAGTTTGTAGATATTCACTCGGATGATCTCGTACCTGGTGATGTCCTTGAGATCCCTCGACGTGGATGTATCATGCAGTGTGATGCAGTATTACTGACAGGAAACTGCATTGTCAATGAAAGTATGCTTACTGGTAAGGACAAGCATTTTTACAAAAATAATCTCCATGCAGAATGTTTGGTAAATGAATATTGCAAAAAATAACCGTCACAAAATAGCCATGCATTCTTTAATGTTTACATGAAATTAAATTAATGTAATTGCAAAGTTTGTTGAAGAGTTTATAGGCTAGATATCAAACATCAAATTGAATGTTCTGTAAATTTTACTTTGGTGAAACCATAAGCTTGATAAGTTTGAGGCAACAATTGAGGATCTCATTTCTCTATGGTGTTCACATTTCTCACGAAGAGAAATAGGACTTGGGTGAAAGTCATGACCCAAGAGTTTGCTTTACCTGAATGACCTAAAAAAAAATTATAACACAGTTATGTTTTTCTCTTGAATACTTGTTTTAAATAGAATTGCTCAACTTACTTTATTATCATTTTTGGACAGTCAAGTTAGAGTAAAATCATTTGAGTCACGGAATAGTTAAAATTTGCATACAAAATTTATGTGGATTTAGGAAGACAAACTTTTTGTGATTAGGTGAGAGTGTACCAATTACAAAGACTCCTCTTCCTAACTCGGGGGGCCCAGGAGTTGACGGCAGCCAATCGGATCATCAGGACGTAAAATTCAGTATCAAGGAGAATGGAAAGCATGTTCTGTTCTGTGGAACTGAAGTCATCCAGACTCGTTTCTATGGCGACCAAAAGGTCAAAGCAGTGGTCATCAGAACAGGTGAATATTTTTGAACAAGATGTTAAAAGTGGTGAAGAAAAAGAATCCCAGATCACAAAAAACAAGAATATTTATTTCGCTTGAGGTATATATGTACTTATACATCCAGTAGAAATTTATGAACCTATCAACAGTTAAGATCCTGTTATCAAAAGTATTGAGAATTTTTTATCAAGTATATATTTGAAATCTATACACATAGCTTAATTAAAAATCAAAACCAAAAATGAGGGTCGATGTGCTTCTTTTGGCGCTACGGAGCATTTAATATGACCTTTTTGCACTGTAATTATATCTAACACATAAATCAATTTTTCAAAGTTTTTCCTCTAATATTTTTTATTCAAATAAATTATGGGAACAAACGCAGTGTTTATTCATCTTGAATAGTCTCTTTAAAATTTGTAACAACAAAAAAAAAGTTTCAAATTACTTTGCATAGTCAATTAGCTGACCTTTTTGCACTCATAAAATGTCATTTTTTTCTGGCATTAAAAATTTAACAAGCAGTAAAATCATTTAAAAGTAATGAGTAGAATCCAAATTTATTGTAAGAGCTAAAACTTTATGCAGAATTTTTTAAATAGAGGTCTAGACAAAAATCTGCTCAAAAGCTCAGGAACGAACCTCGTTAACCCTTTCGACGCCAAAGCGACATAAATGTCGTTTACTGTGTCAACGCCAAACCGACAAAAATGTCTTTTTTCAATAAATGTTTTACTTTTTCTTTTATTAACCATATACCTTACGTGTAATTTAACACAATAATATCTATATTTTGACACAAATATAGCTCATTATTTTTACATAGGTACTGGTCTACATATGACGTCATATTTCTTACGTTAAAGTTAAATTATGACGTCAGTTTAGGAGTATGCTAGCATTGTAAATAAAGTATGGCGCACTTTCCGTTAGCATTTTTATGGTTTATTGTTGACGGAAAGTTTTACACTTATTTTCCCCGGTGATATATACATTTACATGCATATATTTTTTTCAGAGAGAGAGAGAAAGAGCTCTGTGCACATATACATAAGCATTTGTTTTATTTTATAAGTGGTTTTTTGTTCTGAATAACACGTTATAAAATGTTTTAACCATTTTAATTTTAATCCCCAGTTAATCATATTGATATACTCGATTAGACAGGTTCAAGGTGTATAGCGTCGATTTCCAAATGGGTGTTAGTGGGGGGGGGGGGGGGGTAAGCATGCAGAGATAATTGACAAGCAAAAAAAAATCTCCTAATGAAAAGGCAACCGCTAATAGTTCAAACTGATAAAAAGAGACCTCGTCGTTGTCTGAATATAAAAACCGGTAACATGGGATGCTTGAACCTACGTTTAAACATTTAACAACAACAAAGAGGAGGGGAGGGGGCACACAGCTATACTAAATTAACACACAATAAAACAGAGTAGAGGGCACGAAAAAAATCTAAATTTTGCTTAAATAAAAAATTGAAATAATGGATTAAATGCATAAAAAAAAGTAGTCCCTGAAAATAATATGAAATTGTTCTGATAAAAGCCAGTTTGAAATGAGCTTGGAACTTGTTTAGGAATTGAATACAGCTAAATAGATGTTGACTTTTTCCAAGAGCATTATACTCAGAGTTGAAAAACATAAGAATTAAATCGACAGTGACTTTTTGCTTAAAAATATGTATGAAACAGAACAAACAGTAGATTAAATAGAAGATTAGGCTGTAAAGAAACTATTATTGAACTTCTGATAAATGTTTATATGGCAACACCGATTGAGAATGAATCAGTGATAGAAGAAAACTGTACTATTACATGTAACAAGTGGTTATGGATGTCATTCAAATGATATGAAAAAGTTCAAAATCATGAACCAAACACTAGTATGAAATCTGTACATTATTGGAAAGATAAAAATAAAATGATGTTTTGAGCAAAAACACCCCCCCCCCCTCCCAAAAAAAAAAAAACAAGCAAAAAACAAACAAACAAACAAACGAACAAACAAAAGAAAAATGGTGATTCGTGCAAAACTTTGATGACCGTGAAAAATGTAAGGAATCATTTTTTTAAAATTGACTATTGAATTCGTGTATGTAATAATTTAGCCATGAAATCTTGAACGTCAAGTTTCAACTCTGATATCTCGACACCCCGGATATCTCAGTACACACACCTTTCTGCCTTCAAAGAAAAAAAAGTTTTTAGTCCTGTCCTGTGGTAACAGGCAAAAACACCAGTCATGTTCTGTAATTTCAAGATTCCACTTAGCCTATGAAGAGAGTCGAGTAGAGCGGTAGAGTTTCAAACATTAAAAATGGATATTGCTTACCTATATCGCCTTATACAAAAAATTATAAATATGTGTTGGACGTAATATTTAATTATTGCTTGAGACATAATTGTATGTACATTTCATTGCATCGAAGTATGAAGAGCTTTAAGATGTCAGATAAGCTGGTGTCACGGAGGAAGAGGACTGCGTAAAAATATATTCAAGTCTTCCAAAAATATTCAGAGTTTCGATTTCAGATTTCGTCAAAATTATAATTTAGATGTATTTCACTTTGCTCAGGAAAGTCCAGCTGCGTTAAATATGCATAGGCCTATATAGAAAAGAGCCAAGAGCAGTACAACCATCTCTTTGATCAAACTCTACTTAAAAAAAATTAAATTTTAGAACTTTCCGTAAATCTGAGTTGGAAACCAGACAATAAAATCTCTCGCGAGATTTTTTTAATTCCGGGAATCCAGAAAGGTCATTATTTCAGATCAAGCGCAATGCTACAAGGAATTCTTTTTTTCCTAGGATTGAAATTTCGAACTTTAGTAAGCTTAAACATGACGGCTATATTTCTATGTCCAGCAGGTGATAGTAAGTATCTGGCAATATGATCGCGAATTTCCCATTCATTCCGACATTAAGACCGCGGAACATTAACTGTCAAGGTTTGGAAATATGCAGCTTATAAATACGTCATTTTTATCTATTAGAGTCAAAACATTTGAGCGGGTAATTATAATAATTCGGCGCGGGCGTCTGAGAATACATGGATTAAAATTCTACTTCGAAATTCATTTTAAATTCACCTCAGCTACTCTTGTACGCACAGTGTTAGTGATAGATCCAGAAGAAAAATAATGCCAATTTCGGAATTTCGGAAAAGTTTGACATTTATATATATAAATCAGAGTTTTCTATCCAATGTTTTTGTTTAAAAGAAATAATAAGAGGACGAACATTTGGGGGAGGGGGGTAGATCTTAGAAATACAGAAAGTTTTTGAGTTTGGACAGCCCATATCAGTGTCGTCTCGATCATCAAATATTTTAGCTGTAACAGATGGAAATCATTCGGCAAACCTCGGCTGATTCCGTCACCTTCATCAAATGAGGTACGAATCGGCCGAGGTGTGCCGAGTGAGATGGAAATGACGTACCTGAAAGCTGTATATTTCCAGCCTTGCCAGTTAACGTCGCGCGGTCTTAGAAATCTATTTTTAAGAAACCAATTTCCTTAGTGTTTCATTTGAGATTACAGTTTAGGCCCTTTTAAGAAATGATGTACGATTGTTGCGTCCAAGTGATAAACGTCGGGAGCACAGGTTAAAAAAAAAAAGAAGACAGCTTTTGATATAACCTGATTTACTAGGGGAAAACTAAAAAAAATGACTAATAGTTTCAATTTTCATGTATATGAAATAAACTTTTTGACATCATTATGTACCTCTTTTTTATGTTTGTACATGTATTCCATGCCTTGGAAGTAATTGGTTTGTATGAACAACATGGCCGTAGGAACCCCAAATAATTTTCCCGATATTATAGTGCCCCTGCTGAAAAAGTATGGTTGCCCACATCCCCCCCCCCCCCGGGAAAAAAAAAACAACTGAAATTGCTCCCTAAGGCCCTTAATAATAAAAACTTATTTAAAAATAATATATCAGCGTATTTTTAAAAAACATCAAATTAAAAAAAATCCGTTTGGAAGTAGAAAAACAGACTTTTTATGAACGGAACAAACTTAACCAAAAAAAAAACAAACAAAGAAACAAACAAAACAAAACAAACAAACAACTATCGTATTTTACACATCATGCATCTGAATCAATTTCCAGTTATAATTCATCGGTGATACAGAAAATACTTGGAGTGCTATTATCTTCTCTTTTAAACAAAGTTAGAGGGGGAAAAAGTAACGCGCTTGTGGGTGTGGGTGGTGGAGTGAATGCGTGCTTTTAACTGAAATTAATAAATTTTTATATCGAGATCGATTTGCTTTTTTGCGAGGGGATGGCCCGCTTTACGCGCTGTCCCTTTGTTTGGGTTGGATTTCTTTTTTTTTTTCTCTATGGGGCATCTGCGATTTTTTTAAGGGGGGGGGGTATGTTTCAAGTGCTTTATATCCATTTTTACTTGAGCTAGAATATTAAATACAAAAAGAGTACTTTGTTTGAAATTGTAATATTTTTCGACTGAATATAAACCGTTCCCAGATCCTTAATCATTATGTCCAGATCCCCCTCCTCCTTAATTAATGGATCTGCCTCTAGAAGTATGAACTAAAGCGTCTTTTCTTAGTTAGGAATAATTACATACTAGTAGCTTAGAAAAAGAAATTAAATATTTTCTCAAGTTTTTATGTGTCAAAAAGATTAGGATTATTAAATAATTTTAAGAATGTTTAGAAACTGAAATTGCTGAACGCGACAACAGTACCTTTGCTGTTAGTAACGTCAACTTTGTTTTGAAGTGCCTTTCTAAAATGCTTATAAAATACTGAAAAAAGCAGACATTTTTTAAATGTTTTATATATATTTGCATTCAAAAAGGACCAGCTAGACTATTTAAGGGCCCCTTTTCTCGTGACGGCAGTCATACATTTATAACATTTAGTAGAAATATTACCAGGTATTTGAAAAAGATCAAACGTCTTTTTTTGTTATATTTAAAGAATTTCCTTGTGTATTCTAGCTACAGGATAAATATTTGCTAAATTTACTTTATGGCGATTAAAAATTATTGGAATGAATATGACTATATTATGTGCATTTTCCTTGAAAACTATGAACATCCTATTACCTTGCTTAAACAGGTGCTTGTTTCATTATCAATTTGACGCTTTTTTCTGAAGCAAATTATTTTACGTCTCAGTTGACGTCATAGTACGGCATCCATGACGTTATAGACGTAACTATATTCGGCGTCGAAAGGGTTAACAAAGAATGTCTTCTAGGGTGAGTTAACCATGCATCGGACACATACCTTGCTTCGGACAACTTTAAGCAATAAACTGTCATTGAACCTGAGTCTCCCCGTGTTTTTACTAGTTTCTGTCTTAAAGGTGAAGAACTAAACTTTTTAATGATGCCGATTTTTATTTTCATGTTGTGATAAAAATGCCACAAGAATGGCCTTGAAATTACGTCATATTTTGCATCATCGAAGGGGAGTAACCAGAATTTTACAATTTTGCAATTTTTAGAGTTGTCATTCTTTTAAATAAACGTAAACGGAACGGGCCGGACCTTGGTAAAATTTGTCAATGATTGATAATTTTACAGAAATTTTTCAAAAATTTTACTTCAATGTTTGTACAATATTTTTTAAAGTTGTTTTTAACTAGTATGTTTATTTCACCGTACATCAGACACAAATTAACCCTGCATCGGACACTTTCCGATGCATGGGCAATCACTTCCATTTTCACGTAAAACCCAAATGACAGCTGTTTTTTACGGAAATAGAAAATAGAAACTCTAGATTGTTAGTGAAAATACAAATTATCGATATATGACGACTAGAAGTGGACTCAATTTATTTCTTTAAACTAGATGATTATAACCCACGAGACAAAGGCGCGAGTTGCCATATTATTAGCATTGTAAAGCCTTTCTAAGGCGATGTGATGCAACTAAAATCTCTTCATATTTATGCATCGAAATAGTCATTCAAATTTAATTAAAAGGTTATTTTTTAAATACAAGATAAAAAATGTTTCGATATCACTAATTTTAAAGCACCGAGATCAAGGTATGATCGGTCCTACTAAACAGAGTACGCTAGTACGATAGAGTACTTTAGAGTACGCTAGTAAAATTTAATAATTTAATGCAATTTAACTACTTTTTGTATGTTTTTCTACTTTAGTTAAACATAATGAATATATATTTTAAATTAGATTTGTATGTTTTCCTTATTTTAGGAGTTATTTCAAATTCTGATTTCAAGTGACGGTTTATCGTTTGATCCCGATCTAATTTAACTTGAACATGTTGAAATGTTTCACTGTTAATGTAAAAAATATTTATATAGGGCAATAAATTTAATTTTTGATAAAATTCAGTTAAAGTTAGTAAGTCTGAAACAAAATATTAATCGAGATCAGAGTGTTAATAATCTTTAACAGTTTAATGCATTGAATCATGAATGTTATTTTCTTGTCAAAATAGCGCTAAAAACAAATATTTTGAAATAAATATTGCAATATTAGTTTATAATAATGTTTAATGGAGTTATGATATTTTTCTGGTTTAAATATCGTATGTCTGATGCATGGTGAATATTGTCCGATCCATGGTGAATTCTGTTTTCTAAAAAATCGGTTTTTAATGATATTTTCTCAATAAATAGGGGACGATTGTGTCAAAAATTTATATTTTAACCACATACTACATGTTAAGTTCCATTTTGATAATATTTGGTCGGTAGCGATATTGCTGGAACTTGTTGAAGTGCAAGGGTGTCCGATGCATGGTGAATTCACCCTAAATGTGTCTTCTGTGATTCATGTACTAATAAAGTGAAAGTACAATTGTTTATGTATCAAATTTAGATTAATGTTTAAAATGGTAAAGCATTTTTACAGCACACTTTGACATTATTGTGAATTAGTACTTGTAACACATGTATCAGATTTATATCCAGTACTATGAAACTGACAAATTGTTAGCATTATGAATTTAAAATCTTTGAGATTGTATTCAGAAGACGTCTTTTTTATAGGCTTCTCTACATCCAAGGGAGAGTTAGTCAGGTCTATCATGTATCCTAAACCTGCTGATTTCAAGTTTGAGAGAGATACATATATTTTTGTGGGAGTTCTAGCCATTATTGCAGCCATAGGATTTATATATACCATTGTACTTGAGGTAGGCAACAGTGAACTATTGTAAAAGTCAGTTCTCTATGCTTGAAATCTTATGTTGTAGTCTGTGTAATTTTTTTAGCTCACCTCGACGAAGTCGAGATGAGCTTATGCTATACCCCCGGTGTTGGCGTTAGCGTCGGCGTCCCGGTTAAAGTTTTAGGAGCAAGTCCCATTCCCAAGTTACTATAAGCCCTACCTGGACCAAACTTGCATGGATGATGCATCTAGAATGGACACTGCCACACTTGCTTCGGATGCTGGATCTGACCTAGATTTTCCAGATGAGTGACCAGGTTAAAGTTTTTGGAGCAGGTCCATTCCCAAGGAACTATACGCCCCACCTGAACCAAACTTGTATGGATGATGCATCTAGGGATGGACACTACCACACTTGCTTCGGATGCTGGATCTGACCTAGATTTTCCAGATGAGTGACCAGGTTAAAGTTTTTGGAGCAGATCCATTCCCAAGTAACTATAAGCCCTACCTGGACCAAACTTGCATGGATGATGCATCTAGGGATGGACACTACCACACTTGCTTCGGATGCTGGATCTGACCTAGATTTTCCAGATGAGTGACCAGGTTAAAGTTTTTGGAGCAGATCCATTCCCAAGTAACTATACGCCCTACCTGGACCAAACTTGCATGGATGATGCATCTAGGGATGAACACTACACACTTGCTTCGGATGCTGAATCTGACCTAGATTTTCCAGATGAGTGACCAGGTTAAAGTTTTTGGAGCAGATCCATTCCCAAGTAACTATAAGCCCTACCTGGACCAAACTTGCATGGATGATGCATCTAGGGATGGACACTACCACAGTTGCTTCGGATGCTGAATCTAATCTAGATTTTCCAGATGAGTGACCAGGTTAAAGTTTTTGGAGCAGGTCCATTCCCAAGTAACTATAGGCCCTACCTGAACCAAATTTGCATGGATGATGCATCTAGGGATGGACACTACCACACTTGCTTCGGATGCTGAATCTGACCTAGATTTTCCAGATGAGTGACCAGATTAAAGTTTTTGGAGCAGATCCATTCCCAAGTAACTATACGCCCTACCTGAACCAAACTTGCATGGATGATGCATATAGGGATGGACACTACCACACTTGCTTCGGATGCTGGATCTGACCTAGATTTTTCCAGATGAGTGACCAGGTTAAAGTTTTTGGAGCAGGTCCATTCCCAAGTAACTATAAGCCCTACCTGGACCAAACTTGCATGGATGATGCATCTAGGGATGGACACTACCACACTTGCTTCAGATGCTGAATATAACCTAGATTTTCCAGATGAGTGACTAGGTTAAAGTTTTTGGAGCAGATCCTTTCCCAAGTAACTATAAGCCCTACCTGAACCAAACTTGCATGGATGATGCATATAGGGATGGACACTACCACACTTGCTTCGGATGCTGGATCTGACCTAGATTTTCCAGATGAGTGACCAGGTTAAAGTTTTTGGAGCAGGTCCATTCCCAAGTAACTATACGCCCTACCTGGACCAAACTTGCATGGATGATGCATCTAGGGATGAACACTACACACTTGCTTCGGATGCTGAATCTGACCTAGATTTTCCAGATGAGTGACCAGGTTAAAGTTTTTTGAGCAGGTCTATTTCCAAGTAATTATAAGTCCTTCTTAAACCAAACTTGTATAGATATTGATCTTGGGGTGTACACTAACTAGAAAAAATATGATGTGAGATTTGCCTTACTTATAGATAACCTTCGTCGAGGTGAGCTTCGTAATCTTTGATTACCTATGATTCTATTTTTGAAAAGGGCATTAGTCAGCTGGTTTACATATGAACTAGATAATTTTCCTACACATATTGTACATGAACTAAAATCTCATAAATTAAAATTCAAGTGCTTTTGGAATTAAAAATTATGAATTTAAAAAAGACCACATAACAGTATTTATAGAAATAATTTGCTAAAAAGTAAACTTAATTATGATACTGTAGGTGAACGCTGGAGAGGATACATCAGACATCATACTACATGCCCTGGATATCATCACGATTGCCGTACCCCCAGCACTTCCTGCTGCTCTGACCGTGGGGATCGTGTTCGCTCAACAGAGGATGAAGAACCATCAAATTTACTGTATCAGTCCTCGAAGCATCAATGTGTGTGGGGGCATTAACGCTGTCTGCTTTGATAAGGTATAATAATAATAAAATTAATGTATGGTATGAGAGCCGTGGTAGGTATTTTCACCATTATTCCATATGAGTGCACAAGAAAGGGTTCCACCATAATAATTAAAATGAATTGGATAACTGACAGATGAAAATTCAAATTGTTTTGTCAGTGTAATCTTTTTCATATGTTAGAGAATATTTTATTAGAATTTTTTTAAGACTTGTATTATATTACCTGTGTATATGAAGATTGATTAAGACTACAAAATATATTGTAAAATGCTCTTCACATGTGTTTACAGACGGGAACTCTTACAGAGGATGGTCTTATGATGCAGGGAGTCATACCTACTAGTGATCAAAAGTAATTATCAAGTATATATAATTCTTAATATTTACATTTGCCAATGTCTTTCCTTATGTAACAATACTAATTAAATTGAAATTCAATTTTCAATGACGTGCAGTTGGTCACATGATCAGACTTTCTTGGGTTTGGAAAGCAAACTGCACGAGTCATTTGGAAAGTTCCGACAGTGACGTCACATGACATCGTAGGTTCGCTATGTTGCATTTCCATAGCAAAATCTAAATAGTGCCTATATTTCTTTGTAACACGAATAAAAAAGTAAAATATAAATATAAGAAATAAAATATCATTTTTTAGAGTTTCATTGGGTTATGACATGAAGTCGGTATGTGATCAAATCTACTATAATGCCCTTCGGGTGTTATAGGATTTGATCATGTGACCGACTTCATGTCATACTCCAATGAAACTCTAAAAATGATATCTTATTTCTTAAATATATAATCAACAACTCAGTTGAGAGATCCAGTGAATGAAGCTTGAACATTTTGTACAAAACTGACTTCTTGAGCTTAAAATTCTCTTATCTAGAAATTGTACGTTTCTGTTAATTAAGATGCTTGTAATTATTTTTATGTGCACAATTGTATGTACAGTATAATCTGTCTAATTCTGATGTCAGTGGTTCCAAAAATTTTAATTGGGTCAGACAATAGAAAAAAAAAATTTATAGGAGTTCTTGCCCTTATTTTACAGTGTTCCTCATTTTATCGATCCCTGTTAGGATAAATCAGGAAAGTAATTAATTTTGCCGTGGCACATAATAGAGCCAATATAATATTGTAAGAACAGGAATTTCGCGGTTTATAAAGCATAAACTGTCCCAACCCAGTTTATACCATATAAATTGGGTAGCTATTAAATTCATTCCTTAAATCAATTCAAGAATTTTAATAGGTCAATGTATATTAATCGAGCACTGATCTTCGTGAATGTTCCGCACTGAAATAAACAACATTGATATCTATTCATCAGAACTTTGTTGTCTGTAAACAATTTTTACTGGGGGTAATACTACATACCCTAAAATGTTGAAAATGGAATAAAAAAGCTCAATATATACACTGTTAAACAATGTAATTTTCTTAATGTCCAAAAAACCTTTTGCCATGGTGTATAGAGGGTCAGTTTATGGAAATCTGGACAGAACATGCTTAGTTACAAGTACATACTAAGTGATGTTAAATCGCATTTTATTAGCAGGAGTTTTTGTTCACTTGATATCATGGAAATGTCGTAATGTAAATCCTTGCTATTAATCACAGAAAGTAACTAATGTTTTCTTATATGGAGAATTTCCAAGAATAACATAAACAGTGGAATATCAGTATTCCAAAGTTTGGGGGACTTGGATTTCCCATGTTTGAGATACTGATACCGTCCATATAAGCAGAAATTTTAGCGAGGATTCAATTTTGGCATTTTTAGCAAAGGCGTTGAGTTCCCTAAAATTGAATATCACGAATAATTCATTCTGTATTGGAGAATACTGTTATCTCTATAGCCATCACAAAATCACTAAAATTACTTCTCGCTAAAATTAAATACTGATTTTATTTTTAAGGAAAAATTGCTTAATTTGAGGTTCACTAAAAATTCCAATTATATGGTATTAACATATATATATTTGGCTAATAAATAGAACCAGAGACCTGTCAAAGTAAAGTCCGCCTAAATGTATGTGATTAACAGTAGTTATAACACTATGTAATTGATTTCATAGGTTTGTTTACCGGGTAGTTGTTAAATTTTGTGTTTTACAGATTTGAGGATGAAGTTTTAGATCCGAGTCTTTTAAAATCGAGTCCACTACTGATTGGCATGGCAACGTGTCACTCACTAACAATTATAGAAGGCAGCATTGCTGGGGATCCACTAGATGCCATTATGTTCAACAGCATTGACTGGGTAAGTGGAAATGTTATTCACAACAACATAAATGATTTACTGGGTAAGTGGAGTAGCATTGACTGAATAAATGTTATTCACAACTGCATTGACTCCTGGTAAGTGAAGCAGCATTGACTATAAAATTAGACACAGCATTTTCCCTGAAGAATGGTAGTGATTGTAATGGTTTGTTACACTGTTAAATGAATTAGATCCTACTGAACCAATAATACTGGACTGAACCAATAATACTGAACAGAACCAATAATACCAGTAATACTGAACTGAACCAATAATACTGAACTGAACCAATAATACTGAACTGAACCAATGATACTGAACTGGACCAATAATACTGAATTGAACCAATAATACTGAACTGAACCATTGATACTGAACTGAACCAATAATACTGAACTGATCCAATGATATATATCAATACAGGTGTTGGAGGAGCCGGGACAAGAGGAGAGTAGATTTGATATGATGGTCCCTACAGTGGTATATCCTGGAGCTTCTTCTCCAGTCAAGTCCAAGGTATGTCTACATTTTAGAAAATGTCTTCTAAATGTCTACATCCAAGCAAGTTGAATTCTGACATCATAATACCACACTTGATGTCAAAACTATAGTGAACTGTTTTGTTTCAAAAATGATCGTTGAATGACATAAATAATGTGACATAAATAATGTGAATATAAGATAAGCATTTTATTTGTGAGAATTCATTAGGTACACAATCTACAATGCTTCACGCCTGTATATTTATCATGAAGCACTGACAAGCTTCAAGAAATATGCCAGTGTAAAGCATCGTAGTTCATGTCTCATGAATTCTCAAAAATTCAATTCACTTCTTAAATAAACAGTAGTAGCTCAATCTAGATGTAAATCTACAGTACGTGTATTAATACTTTTAAAGCTTTTAACCATGTAGATGAAACACATACATAGCTAGATTTTGTGTAACTGTCAATGGTGAGCTGTATACTGCTGTATTTCAGGAAGATCTTCAGTATGGGGTGGTTAGACAGTTTACATTCTCATCAGGACTTCAAAGAATGTCAGTGGTGGCCAGAAAACTAAAAGGACAGAGTTTTGAGCTGTACACTAAAGGTGCTCCAGAAATGATTGTATCCCTCTGTAAACCAGATACCGTTCCTCCTGACTTTCAGGAGAAGTTGATGTCGTACACGCAGCATGGCTACAGAGTCATAGCAATGGCGTGGAAAGAATTACCCTCCAAAATCAATTATGTCAAGGTCCAAAGAATACAAAGGTTAGTAGGGATGGGGTGTTATAGAACAGTTGTTCCTCCCATTAGCAAAAGCATTGCAGTTGCATAAAACATTTTTATGAAGGACTATAATTATTTAAGAAATGAATTTAATTTGGTACCCAAGTTATACTGTTTAGCCTGGTATGATGGAAAAAAAATAAAATGTTCCAACCCAGCAACCCAGGTAAATCAAGTAAAACTTGGGTAGCTATTAAGATTTACATTTATACATTATTTTCTATCGTTAAGAGTAAAATATTAGACAGTATATGAATATTCCTTCAAAATTGCTTTAAAATTGTACTGAATTTAAGTGCAAAGTCAAGCAGATTTAGTTTATATCTTTTTGTTGCCTGCTTCAAAAACGTATTAATTTTCTATCCAGTAAAATGGTGCGTTACAACAGAATTGGATTATATACCTGAAAATCAAGTGTTGCTTAAGACTCTCTATGGAAATGCAGACTTTTCTTTTTCACTTTACAGGGAACAGGTAGAAAAGGATCTGAATTTTCTGGGCCTGCTGGTGATGGAAAACAAGCTGAAGCCAGAAACAACACCAGTAATCAATGAACTGAGGGAGGCCAACATTAGATGTATCATGGTCACAGGTGAGTTTAATCTTCAGTGGCAAAAACATGGGAACCAGTGATGGGGGGGGGGGGGGGGGCAAAATTAGATGTATTTCAGGCATTATCATTAGCTCCTAATAACTACTGATGAGACACATTACCATGTGTGTGTGTGTGACTTACATTTAGTTTCTATTTTATTGCTGTTGGTAGGTGACAATATTTTAACTGCCATCAGTGTAGCTCGGGAATGTCGTATGGTGGACACTGCAGACCAGATTATCCTAGTGGAGGCAGTTGTCACCAAAGACAACAAGCCCATGTTGAACTTTGTGTACGCAGATGATAAGACAAAACCAGTGGAGGAGGTTAAGAATGGGGGATCAGGGAGTCTGATTCAGATTGAAGAGTTAGACCAAGTGTTCCACTTCGCCGTGGAGGGAAAGTCTTGGTGGGTTTTACAGAAACACTACCCAGAGATTCTGTCCAAGGTAAAACATCCTGGCAGCTCTGTTGAGAATTTTAGATGTTTATCTGTTGATGATGCTGGTTTTATGTTTCAGTTTTTCAGCATTCAATAGTTTATTAATTCTTTTGTAGGTGATTGTCAAAGGAACTGTCTTTGCAAGAATGTCACCAGAGCAGAAAGGTCAACTTGTAGAACTATTACAAGATCTGGGGTATTTACCTTAGTTTTATAACATACTGAATGTATTGAGTTTAATCCAAAGTTTTAAGCTGCTGTATAATTATTAATCATACAATATTTGCCTTTCACCAGACAAAGTAAATATCAAGGTGATTTTTTTCTATTTCAGATACTATGTTGGTATGTGTGGAGATGGTGCTAATGACTGTGGAGCACTTAAAATGGCCCACGCTGGGATATCTCTCTCAGAGGCGGAGGCTTCTGTAGCCTCTCCATTCACCTCCAAAGTCCCCAATATAGAATGTGTTCCCAATGTCATCAGGTAAATATGCCACTAAAGTCCCCAATATAGAATGTGTTCCCAATGTCATCAGGTAAGTATGCCTCCAAGGTCCCCAAAATAGAATGTTCCCAAGGTTAGCATAGAATGTGTTCCTAATGTTACCACAATTCTCTGAATTTGCTTGTTTCTTCATGTGTTATAAGGAATCTTTGACAAATTCTTTCTACTGTATTTAATGTAATGAAACTTGACCTTACAGACAAGGAAGGGCAGCTTTAGTGACCTCATACGGCATCTTCAAATACATGGCTTGTTACAGCTTAACACAGTTTGTGTCAGTCTCTATACTTTATTGGGTAAGTTATCTAGTCTGTGTCAATCTCTATACTGTATCAGGTAAGTTTCCTAGTCTTTGTCAGTCTCTATACTTTATTGGGTAAGTTATCTAGTCTGTGTCAGTCTCTATACTGTATCGGGTAAGTTCCTAGTCTTTGTCAGTCTCTGTACTGTATTGGGTAAGTTATCTAGACTGTAATAATCTCTATACTGTACTGGGTAAGTTACATGTACTTAGTCTGTGTCAGTCTCTATACTGTACTGGGTAAGTTACTTAGTGTCAGTGTCTATACTGTATTGGGAATTTTACTTATTCTGTGATGCACAATGATGCAAAAAATAGTGCTGACATAAGCGGATCTATGGCTGACTTTTAAGTGAAACACGTTATCTGTGAGAATATATGGTGGACATTTTTGTCAATATTTATACTGTACTATACTGAGTACACATTTTTGTCCATTTCTACACTGTACTATTCTGAGTAAGTCTTACATGTTTTTGTCAATTTCTGTACTGTATTGTATAAACTAAGTTAGTCTTGCACGGTTTTGTCAATTTCCATATTGTACTGTATACACTGAATAAGTCTTACAAAATTTAAGTGAGCTTTTCTTATCAAAAGAACAAGGTTCACTTAGGACCTTTTTTGGCCCTGTGAATTTCCGAAAAATTAAAAACTGCACAGTTTTAGGTGACAATGCAATGAATATTACTTGGACCCTTATGACTGCATATCTCTTGAAAATGATGTAATTTTCTTGCTGTGATGTCATAAATTATGTCATTATTCTAGTATCCTGAAAATTTCTTTCAAAAATGGCGAAAGTCTATGATGTTTTTCAATATTTCAACCTCTGATCCAAAAGCAATTATATTATGATAGAACTGTTTCTGAAGATTGTAAAACTTGTTAATTTTTGGATTGAGGGGTGTGCTCATATTGAATTCTTTGCAGAAGGTTCTCAAATTACACCTGTTTTCTGCAAAATTCAAGAACATTGCAATTTCATAAAGTCTGTTTTCCAATACCTGGACTCTCAGAAGAAACTTTTTTTTTATATAGAAAATGAAAGACTAATTTTCTACTTTATATTGATGTTTAAAATGGGAAGCAGAGTTTATAGTCAATTAATTGATATAGGGACATGGCCAATTTATGCATTATTAAGTGACTCTTAGCTCTTTGTTTGTTGTCCCTCATTGTCGTAAACTTTTCATGTTTTTGAATTCTTCTCCAGAACTACTGGGCCAGTTTCAACCAAACCTCCCACAAAGCATCCTTGGGTGAAGGGAATTTAAGTTTGTTCAAATGAAGGGTCATGTTTCTTTCAAGAGGAGAATTAGTGGAAATTTTATGGCATCTTTCAAAAATCTTCTGATGAAGAACAACTAGAAAAGTTGAAACTTTTTGATAGCTTCATTTCAATAGTGTAGATTCAAGTTTGTTCAAATCATGACATCTTGGGTTAGTGTGGGGCCACAATAGGTAATCATAGTTTTACATAGGAATATGTAAGAAAAAATCTTGAAAAAACTTCTTCTCAAGAACAGGAAAAGCCATGATAAGTCATATAAATATGGAAGCATCATTAGGAAGTGCAGATTCATGTATGTTTGAATCAAGATTCCTGGAGGAAGTTTGAGGCCAAAATAGCCAAAAAAAAAAAGTTCTATTGGATGTACATGTATTTAGGACAAAATCTTTAAAAAGTCTTCACGTGATTAGCAGAGCCCTGATTAATTATATCTATAAATAAAAATCCTTTGGTAGTGTAGATTCAAATTAATTCAAATCATGACCCCCCAGGGTAAGGGTGGGGCAACAATAGGTGAACAAAGTTTTACATACAAATACAAATGAAAAATATCCAAAGAAAAACAGCATAGCCATAGTAACTATGGATGCAAGGTTTTTTCAGTGATATTTTATTGTGCAGTACATATCTTGATATCTTGATACGGAGACTAAAATATTGTATTAAGTGTATAATTATAAAGTATGAAAATAAATAATTGTTTTGTTCAAATTTTTGAATTGCAATTATTGGAATTGAAAAAAAATATCGTAAAACAGTAAAACAATGGCATCCTAGCATCCAAATATACATTATAAATATATTGAATAAAAAATTTTAAAAAGTGAAGTTATGATTTTACAGTATACTTTTTAGAAAAAATTGTTAAAATTATTTAGAAATCATAGGAAGCATGCATGTAAAAATATCTGATATTATCATATTTTTGGAAAAAATCATGATATATTGCGATTCAAATTTTTTGGTGATACCAGTCAGTAATAGTTATTCAGGTGAGTGTTGTGGCCCGTGGACCTCTTGTCCATTTCTATTTGTACTTAATTGAATAAATCTTTGAAATTTTTGTCTATTTCTATACTGTACCATACTGGTTAAGTCTTACAGATGGAGCCTGTCAATTGCCAAGTCTTTTAAAAACTTTGTGATTTTTTTCTTTTTAAACTCTTTTTAATTAGTATTTGTATCTTTCTACTTCAGATATCAGCTAGTCTTACTGATCCGGAGTTCCTGTACATTGATCTATTCCTTCTATCAACTCTCAGCATTACCTGTATGTAGTTTGTATTGATGTTTCTTTAAAAAATTGTCTTTTGAGATCAGATGAAACAGAATAAATTGTTACTAGTATGTTGAATATAATTTTTGTCCCTTGCTTTCACAAAAAGCAGGGGATATTAATTTGGATGTGTTCCTCTGCTCATCTGTCCATCTGTCTTTTATTCTGACTGTGTGTAACACTTTAGCTCTTAAAGTGCTTTAATGTAGAAATAAAATCTCATAACTACCCAGGACTTAAACAAGATCCATTTCATATATTCCCTAAAATGTTTTCCAGATGGTAACTTTAGTTTTCAGTGCACTTTTGCAATGACACGTAAGGTTGTGACTCTAACTTAAGAGAGGCCCTTTAACATTTAGGCCAAAGGTGAAAGGTCAAGGTCACAAATTCTTGGTAATTTCAAATGGTAAATTTTACTTTCCAGATGTCACTAAAAGTCCTTTAGGTTTTGTAGGTTTTGTCATGAAATTCTTTAATATATCTTGACTCCCAATGACTATAAAAAAGACCCTTAATGATTTTGAGGTCAAAGGCCACGGTCAGCAGTTCATATAATTAGATGTTAACCTTAGTTCTCTTACAGTTTTTGCGATGAAAGTTAAGGTGATGACTTTCTTTAACTTTGAAAAGACCCCTATTGATTTTGAAGCCAAAAGATGAAAGACTAAGGTCACAAACTCATATATGGTATGAAGTTGTTTCAAGACTCTTTATTACTGTCTATAATAAAACTTGCCCCTATTGATTTGAATTGGAAGGTTAAGGGCACAAACTTATTACATTTTTTTGGTTAGTATCTCAAACTTTGGTCTGCAGGGGACATGAATTTCCTGAATTAGATTGTTTTCCAATTGATTGTCTGTTTTTCCTTCAAATTAAACTTCAAAGCCTTGTGTAACTTTTGAAAGAAATGAAATAAAATAAAAACTTTATATTTAAGTTTCACATTTTATCACTGAAGACAAAAAAGATGTCAAGATCTTGCTAAAGAATTAAGGAAATGGAATTCAGCATTCTTTGTAGACTTTTAAGATGTTTGTTTCTATTATGTTGAACAGTTGGAAGGACTGAGCCTTACCCAGAACTGGCCAAGGAACCACCACCCATTAGTCTGACCAATATCTTTCCCATTATGTCACTGGTTCTACAAATGCTCATCCAGGCAGCTGCCCAGGCTTTCTTTTACGTTCACATCAAATCACAACCATGGTAAGAGACCCTCACCCAATCACAGCTATGGTAAGAAACCCTCACCCAATCACAGCCATGGTAAGAAACGTCTCCCAATCACATTCATTTAAGAAACCCTCACCCAATCACAGTTATGGGAAGAAACCTTTCCCAGTCACATCCATTCTAAAAAAAAAACCTCATCCAGTCACAGCGATGGTGAGAAATATTGTTAAGGCACAGCCATTATGAGAAACTGCACCCAGTCACAGACATTTTAAAACAGTAGTCCTCTCACAGTATTTGCAAGGAATAGAAACCCAGTCTTGCTCTAAAGAAATATCCCATATCACAACAACAGTAAAAATTATAAACTGGCCCTAGGATCATTTAGCAGTTTTAGCAAAAAGTCAGAATTTGTGCATTGTCTTAGAATTTTATTATAGAAAAGATAAAAAATTTGAAATGGTATCAAAAATTTCTTTCTTCTTTTACAATGTACATGTAGTTACTAAATTTTGATTTTCAAGTATTGGTTTTTGATGAACATTCCTTTTATGAATGATTAAAATTTTGACATAAGGCTGAGAAGAAATTTTCATTTGAGCCATTTGAGGATAAGTACAATAACTTCTCTGTCAATGACAATAGTAGTAACTCTCAGGTTTGAGTCGTTTTAGGATAATAAGATAAACTTTTTAATCAAGTTTGAGCCATTTGCAGATAACTACAATAACTTCTCTGTCAGGTTTGAGCCATTTGAGGATAATTACAATAACTTCTCTATTAGGTTTGAGCCATTTGAAGATAATTACTATAACTTCTCTATCAGGTTTGAGCCATTTGAGGATAATTACAATAAATTCTCTATCAGCATTTGAGCTGTTTGAGGATAATTACAAAATCTTCTCTATCAGGTTTGAGCTGTTTGAGGATAATTACAATATCTTCTCTATTAGGTTTGAGCCATTTGAAGATAATTACTATAACTTCTCTATCAGGTTTGAGCTGTTTGAGGATAATTACAATAAATTCTCTATCAGCATTTGAGCTGTTTGAGGATAATTACAAAATCTTCTCTATCAGGTTTGAGCTGTTTGAGGATAATTACAATATCTTCTCTATCAGGTTTGAGCTGTTTGAGGATAATTATAATATCTTCTCTATCAGGTTTGAGCTGTTTGAGGATAATTATAATATCTTCTCTATCAGCATTTGAGCTGTTTGAGGATAATTACTATAACTTCTCTATCAGGTTTGAGCCATTTGAGGATAATTACTATAACTTCTCTATCAGCTTTGATCCATTTGAGGATAATTACAATAAATTCTCTATCAAGTTTGATCTATTTGAGGATAATTACAATATCTTCTCTATCAGGTTTGAGCCATTTGAGGATAATTACAATATCTTCTCTATCAGGTTTGAGCCATTTGAAGAGAACCCTGATGATGACTATTGGAGCTATGAGAATACGGCCATTTTCTCCATTTCTGCATATCAGTACATCATTCTAGCTGTTACTTTTGCCAAAGGCTACCCATATCGCAAAAACATGTTCTCTAACTGTAAGTACTTACTGCGTGTATTAAGGATGGAAATTGAAAATCCAAAGCTGTTTTTAGCTCACCTCGACGAAGTCGAGATGAGCTTATGCTATACCCCCGGCGTCGGCGTTAGCGTCGGCGTCCCAGGTTAAAGTTTTAGGAGCAAGTCCCATTCCCAAGTAACTATAAGCCCTACCTGGACCAAACTTGCATGGATGATGCATCTAGGGATGGACACTACCAAACTTGCTTCGGATGCTGGATCTGACCTAGATTTTCCAGATGAGTGACCAGGTTAAAGTTTTAGGAGCAGGTCCATTCCCAAGTAACTATAAGCCCTACCTTGACCAAACTTGCATGGATGATGCATCTAGGGATGGACACTACCAAACTTGCTTCGGATGCTGGATCTGACCTAGATTTTCCAGATGAGTGACCAGGTTAAAGTTTTAGGAGCAGGTCCATTCCCAAGTTACTATAAACCCTACCCAGACCAAACTTGCATGGATGATGCATCCAGGGATGGACACTACCACACTTGTTCAGATGCTGGATCTGATCTAGATTTTCCACATGTGAGACCAGGTTTAGATTTAGGAGTAGTCTCATTCCCAAGTAACTATAAGCCCTACCTGGACCAAACTTTCATGGATGATGCATCTAGGGATGTACACTAACCAACCTGCTTCGAATGCTGGATCTGACCTAGATTTTCCACATGAGTGAATTTTAGCCATATTTTAACCAAATTAGCATGGATGATGTATCTAGGGATGGACACTTCCAGACTTGCCTTGGATTCTGAATCTGATGTACATTTTCCAGAAGAGTGACCAGGGTAATTTTTTTGGAGTAGCTATATAATATTATGGCCTGTTATGATTAAACTTGCATAGATGGTGCATCTAAGGATGAAAACTTCCAGACTTGCTTTGGATGTTGGAACTGACCAAAATTTTCTTGATTACTAAACAGGTCAAAAGTTTTTTGAGCAGGTCTATAATTAAATCAAACTTGCATGGATATTGATCTTGGGATGTACCCTAACTAGAAAAAAATATGATGTGAAATTTGCCTTACATGTAGATAACATTCGTCGAGGTGAGCTTCGTAATCTTTGATTACCTATGTTTTCATATTTGCCATTAATAGAAATTTATTCAAACATTATTATAAACAGTATATTTATAATAATCAAACATAATGGATTTATACCAAAGTTGTGCATGTATTTTGTTCTTAAGAGTAACAAGAAAAAATAAGTAAGAATGATAACTGGATATGTCAATTCAATGAAGCAATTTGCTGTGCTGAGAAATTTGCTTTAGTGTACTGCACAGTGTTTTTTGTTTGTTTTTTTTTTGTTTTGTTCTTTTTAGTACAAATTTTGATATCTGGAGTATTATGCTGGACTGTAAAATTTTTCGCTTAAATATATGTGAAGTTATTATTGTGAGTCACTTACATTTTGTGTTTGTGACTTTAATGAAATTGTTCTAGGTTCATCATTCTCTAACTTTAAAATAAGAAAACTTTTTATGCCCCGTAAGATTCGGGGGTATATAGTTTTTGCCCTGTCCGTCCATCTAGCTGTTTGTCTGTTTGTTGGCAAAAACTTTAACCTTGCCCATAACTTTTGATTGGTTGAAGGTATGGCTTTCATATTTCATGTGTATTATATGTGACTTTGGCTATTGACATATTTGACCTCTTGACCTTGACATTTGACCCACTTTTGCAAAAAAATTACCCAACTTTTACCTATAACTTTTGAACAGTTGATTCTAGGGCTTTCATATTTCACAAATGTTTTTATTGTGACAAGACCTTTCCATGGGTGTAAATATTTTTGACCTTAGAGTTTGACCCACTTTTAAAAAACTTTCACCTTTGCCATAACTTTTGAACAGTTGGTGCATGAGCTTTTATATTTTGCATGTGTATTTCTTATGACAAGATCTTCCCCTATGTTCCATTAATTTTGACTTTTTCACCATGAGTTTGACCTACTTTTGAAAAACTTTAACCTTTGCCATAACTTTTGAACAGTTAGGACTAGGATTTTCAAATTTCACAGGTATATTCCATGTGACAAAACCTTCCTTTGGATACCAACAATTTTGACCTTTTTACTTTGACCTTGGAGTTTGACCTACTTTAGAAAACCTTTATCTTTTGCCATAATTTTTGAAAAGTTAGTGCTAGGGCTTTTATACTTGGCATGTGTATTTCTTATGACAAGATCTTCCTCTTTGTACCATTAATTTTGACCCTTTGACCTTGACCTGGGAGTTTGACCCACTTTTAGAAAACATTAACTTTGACCATAACTTTTTGAATGGTTGGTGCTTGGCTTTTATATTACTATATCCATTGACACAAGTCCTTTCTTTGGGTAACAACATTTTTGATCCCTTGACCTTGGAGTTTGACATGCATTTGAGAAACTTTAACATTTGCCATAAGCTGCCATATGTTTCACAAACACAATTTGTTTATTTTAATAAACAACTATTCAGCTTCATGTTAAAAAAAATGCTAAAAATTGTTTTTTAGATTGGTTCTTGGCCAATGTTGTGATTTGTTTGTTGACAACAATTTGGGTCACGATTTACCCTGAACCCGAGGGATTCAAAGAATTAATGGAGGTAAGCGTTACTACAGTAGATTTCATTTACATTATAAACCCTTGTATATAATCAACAGAAGAAATGTATTGATCAGACCCATTGTACATTTTCTTGCTGAGATTAAAAAGAGTATCTTGCACCAATCCTTACTTCAAATTCTCTGACAATCTCACAGCATAAATAAGACTTAATATGTAAAAACCTTTCTATAATTTATTTTTTTTAACTTTGCATTACTTATTTAGCCAATATCAAAAATTGTGTTTTTAATCACATTCATACTTGTTTTTAAATTTTAATCTATGATCAAATTACTATAATTCAGTAAATGTGTTTGTGTAAAATATGTCTTAAATTACATGTTTAAGCTTCGTCCACCTGAAGATATTAGTTATCGACTCCTGTACCTCGGAATAGCTGCTGCAAACTTTCTCTTGTCTGTGTTAATAGAGGTAAGCTTATCCACCCAGTGTTGGTTGCTAAAGAGAACTGATAGGGCCATAGGTATAAGAGGGGGTATAACGTGAGGGTGACAAGAACAGGGGTCCACAACATGTGGGAGAATGTAAGGGCGACAATATAAAATGTAATGGTATAAAAGGAGTGACAATGTAAGGATGAAGCTGATTGGACATTGGTGTTCACATTGTCACCCTATCTTTCTTACTCCTCTGTATTGATTGTCACTCCCTAACCCATGGCTTAATATCTGCTGCACATAGGTCCGGTAATAGGACCCTGTTCCATTGGAAATTGACTCTTTTCTTCCCCAATATTGTGGCAAAAATTCCCAAATTACAAGCAGATTAAATTTTTATGTTTTTTATCAACAATAAAGACGTACATTGAGGATAAGCCTATAATCTAAATGTCTTTTCAACAGTAAAACAATATGTCATCAATATTTCCTAATTTTTCCACTTATTTCAATTCAATTACCCAATTGAAAGGGTACAGGACCCTGTATCAAAGGGGTCAATTAAGCCCTGTAACCTTATATAAGTATTCTGTAGAGTTCAGAATAAGTAAATATATTGTGTACTCCCATGTCCAATCAATTTTCTTGGCATTCAGAATAAAGCACTACAAACTTCGTTTTAATGTTTTGCTCCCTTACCCCAAAGAATACCATAGAATGCAGTGTATTTACAGCAAACCTTCATTGTTTGCTCCCTTACTCTATCAGTATTCCATAGAATTTGGAACAGCTGTTTCTTTTTTCATCAGAGATAATCTTACTTTTACCTCCAAGTTTAGAGTTTCTTACCATCAAGTGTAAAAATGATGAATGATGCAGCTATTGTACTTGCAAAAAAAATTGGTGAAAATGCATTTAAGAATTTTCAAAAACATTTGTTGTAATGTCACTTGTTCATCTAACATCAACTTGATTTTCTGAGGTTGTAATATTATTGGGGTTTTTTTTGGTTGAAATTTCAGACATACCTGCTTGATAACCCATTTCTACGAAGTAGATGTTCACAATTCATGGACCGCCATTTTCATAAATCGGAAGCTAGGTACAAGATCATAGAAAGGGAGATAATTGAGACTCCTGACTGGCCTCCAGTAGAAAAGTTAATGGATGGGAAGACTAATGGCTACATGAGGCTGGAGAGTGTGAATTCCTGTCACGGAGGCAGCATCTCTTACCTGTCAGGTTCTGAATCGGACATCAAAAGTCTGTCATCTGTTTCTTCTAACAAGACAGCTGCAAACAAATGTCATGATCATGTTGATAAATCCTTATACAACCAAGGCTCCTTACCTTGCATTGTACAGGATTCCAAAGATACACCAGCTTCTACAACAGTGACACCGACTCGGAAATCACGGACATTGAGCGAGTCAGCTGTAGACAACTCTGACAGGAAATTGAACAGTCTGTTGAATAACGAGGACAGTATTCTGTCCAATGAAATCACTTCTTTGGCTCAAGCTCGATCCAGGGACAAAATCTCCAACAGTTCTAATGTAATTCCCCTTCTTGATCCACCCCCAGGTAGAAAGAAAAGTGTTGGATCCCATGAAGATATAGGAATCTGAGAGAATTAAATTTTTGTTTTTTATGTCTTGTGTTTACAATCAGTTTGTGTGTATCTTTGCTTATACTGATATGCTTATTAGTTTTTGTAAGGTTTGCTGTGATATTCTTTTAAGACTTAAAACTATTTGTAGATTTAACAGAAAGTATCACTGTATACTTTAAAGTTTTATGTACTCGTGATATTGTAGGTCACTCTTTTATTTTACCAAAAAATCTTTGTCCAATAATAATGAAAATTTGATATATTTTTCCTCCAGACCAATTTCTTTCTTGTATTTATACTAGTTCAAACCAAATGATCTCGGATTTATTCATTCTTTAATATATCATAGTTTATATATGTACATGATCTGTAGTTTTGTTTTCTTCTATCAATAGATTATTATTCTCAGATTATTCTACAGAGCTACAGTCTTGTCAGAGACTTCTGGTTTTCCTATCAAGATGCAACATACACTGTTACTACTTTATTAACAAGATATGGTATATTTTGGATTAAAGCTTTATAGGATGCAGATAATAGGTTTTAATTTATTAATTATTTTTACTTTTATTTCTACATGTGTTCTATTGATAGCAGGTAGTTGATAATTGTAATTAATACATGTATAAATATCTAGGCAATGTTACCAAAGACATTTTTACCTGATTATAATCTATAGCAATGTAATATACAATATAGTCTTTCTTATTGGGTAAATTTAATTTGTGTTACATTTAGCTTCTCGGTTTTTTCCCTAAAGCTTACCTTAGTTGAAAGCTCCAATTAGCTTTTCTGATCAAATTTATATGTCTGTTAATTTCTCATATACTGGTACATATTGTAAAACCATACAATTTAGATATTTTCTCAATATGACTCATGTATTATCTCCTTTTGGAAGGGTGCATTGCCTTTCATTTAAATCCCTTAGCCAAAGATGCTCATTGCCAAGTTTGGTTGAAAATTTGAGAAGAAGTCCACAATGTGAAGGGATTTATTTACAAAATGATGGTGACTGGAATTATTATTACTGGCATAAGCACATTGGCCTGATGAATCAATAATCAAGGGATTCGGGATTTTCATACAACAAATGTGTGAAAGCTTTTGCACACAGTGTAGATTCTGATTTGTTCAAATCATGTCCAATGGGCTTTGGCTGGGTCACAATAGGGGGCTAAAGTTTTACATAGGAAAAATAAAATATTCTTTGAAAGGAAATTTGAGGTCATAGTCAAGTAATGTGCTTGTTTCCAAATGTAGTGCAGATTTATATTTTAAATATATGTAATGATGGCACTTGAGCTGGCCAATGTGAGTGTCAAGTTTTTATGTAGATGCCACAGAAACAATCTTCAAAACTGAGTGAAAATGGTATATATGTACATATAAGCAATCCCATATATATGTAGTATAGGTTGAAGTTTGTTCAAATAATGACCCCCTTCTCTTAGGATGTAAATTTTTGGCAGGAGAGATTCTTTTCAAATCTTGGAAAAGTGTGTTGTAGAATTGAGTTTATGCAAGGCAGTGAACCGTGGGTCAGAATGTGGCAATATTCAAGGTACAGTTTTACATAAGAATGTATACATTATCTCCAGAACAGTGTGACTATAATGTCTAAATTTGATATCAACCATAACAAGACATAGTGAAGATAAACCATAGGTTAAGCTTAGGTTTGTCAGAGAAATCCAACTCAGGTGAGCAGTGTAGCTGATAGACCTCTGTTCACTATAACTCTGTAAACACCACCAATTTATGAGTATGCTTAAGCTACTTCCTATTTAACATTAAAGGGTACATTTTATTTGGAAAGAAAATAAGTTTAAAAATTGTTATGTGAAGAGACTGTATGCTTGTGCCATAACCAGAAAGACTGGAGTTGAAGGCTTTTCTAATTATTAACATGTCAATTAAGTATATTTAACATGTCAATCAAGTATATAGTATATAAAATGTGTTCAGTAAGCATGTATTTTTTATAGTATTTATAGCCATGCATACGAAGTTGAGGGAGAGGTCTGTCCATAGCATTTTTTTGTCCAAAGATTATTTCTTTAAAAATATGATTTTTTTTTTCAAACTTTGTAAAAATAAAACATTTGAACACGTGCATCTGGCATTGTTGAAATAATAATTTAAAAAAAGTATGGCTTTATTGCATTGAACATGAATTCTCCGTCTGTAGTATGGAAGAGTAAACTCTTGTCTGGATATAACTTTAAAATTGAGGAACTGAAGAATCTTATCCTTGATACAAAAGTAGCTAGTGTCATGACCCTGTAACAATGTTATTGGACAAGGTCAAGAACATATGGTAAAAAAATATTTATATTCTAGTTGTAACTTTGAAAAGGAGAAACATTAGATTATATATGCTTATGACTCTTGGGATGTCAGACTTCAACCCAGGGTAATTTCGACAAGGTCACTAGTTTATAAAGTGTTAAATACTTACAGTCAGGATAGTTATACCCCCCGCAAACGAAGTTTAGGGGGGGTATATTGGAATCACCATGTCCGTCTGTCTGTCTGTAGACGAGATTTTGTCCAGAGCATTTCTCGGAAACTATTGCATAGATTTGTCTGAAAATTTGTACACTTATTCACCATATGAAGGTGTGCACCTGGTATTTTCATCATGATTGAATAATTTTTCTGCATTTTACAGGTGTTTTTTCATATTTATTATGTGGTTTTGTCCTGACCTTTTCTCAAAGTCTATTTCATAGAATTGTATGAAAATTTGTACACTCATTATTTACCATATGAAGATGTGCATCTGGTATTTTCAACATTGTTTGATAATTTTTCTGCATTTTACAGTTGTTTTTTTTTTTTTGTTCATTTTTATTGACTTAGTCATTTTGGGTTTATTTCTAAGGTTTGAGACATAGAATCTGGAACATCATTCTGTACAAAAATGTGAACTACAGCTTAAAACTATTCATTAAAACAACAACAAAAAATCATCAAGTATTAAAAACAATTTTTATATCACACAGCAGATAGTGTAAATCTATTTGTACCTTGGGAGTAATGAGTGGACATGCATCCAGTTAGAGATAAATTAATGAGTTCAGTGTGGGAAGTTGTTAGGGCATCTCTGATCAAGCAGGTCTTATCTATATCTCCTGGGAATTTAAAGATCTCTGTTCTTTAATTCACTTAATTGTAATTTATTGTCTGTCATAGTGCATAGTTACTGGATGACCAGCCTTTTATTTTTAAAATGAATTTGATATAAAGTTATCAAGATTAATTTGATTTTGTAATTAATTGATTTTTTTTTCAACAATCAATTTGCAGAGTGTCATGTCTCAAAAAGATGACAGATAGCTGCAATTTATTTTTTTCAATGTATTAAAAAAAACCAATGTAATTACAATGTATTGGTATTGATGTTTTATTAGGTTGTTCCTTGGTTTCATTCATTAAAAAATATAATGAGCAATTATTTTTTCTCTCTAAATGTTTATAAGAAAATTGTGAACACCTCTTTGATCCATAAAATATTAGTGATTTGGCACCTCTGAAAAACCCAGCGGGGGGTATTTGTCCCTTTTGGACAGTTCTAATTTTGACAAGGTCACAGAATTATAAAGTGTTAAATTACTGCTTTAACCAGAAGTTGGAAGTACAGGTACATTGGATGATTGTGATTGTGAGCAGTAGACCTGTAACAACCCTGCATCATGGTAATTTAGACAGGGTGAACTTGATTGGAGTTGAAATTTAAAATTCTTGTCCATACCATATAGTCAGGATAATTTTGACAAGGTCACAGGTTTATAAAGTGTTAAATTACTGCTTTAACCATAAGTTTGAAGTACAGGTACATTGGATGATTGTGATTGTGAGCAGTAGACCTGTAACAACCCTGCATCATGGTAATTTAGACAGGGTGAACTTGATTGGAGTTGAAATTTAAAATTCTTGTCCATATCATATAATTAATAGGAATTAACATTAGTAGTTAATGATCATATTAGACCTAAGCCTTGATTATGATTCTAGGATATACCATGACCCTGAGCCAAGGTCATTTAGCCAAAGTTACAGGGTTCAGAAGTGTTAAAATTTTGCAAGTCTTTGTCAAAATATAACAGACAAAACCGTGTATTTGAGGAGGTGATTTCTTTGATGGAGATACCCTTATGTCAAAGAGGTTTATCTCAAGGTCAAGATCACATGACTTGGAAGTTTAATATTCTTCGGGGGTTCTTTGTTCTTTGTTTTAATGCTAGAATTGTGAAAAGACACTTTCATGTGGATACAAAAATGGCTAAGACCAGAGAGGTGTTGCAACCATCAACCGAATACATCTCAACAAGATTCAGGCCAAAGGTATTTTCAGATATTTTTGCAAAATTAGAGTCCAAGTTAATAGCAAATTAAGTTGACAAGCATTAAGTAGAACCTGAAAATTACGACTAACAAGTGATCACTCGGTCTCTTACTTGATACAATAAATATTTAGTAAAAATATAAAGGGTTACATTACAGTCCAAGAAAGTGAGAAGTACTGACAGCATGCCAATTTTATTCACACGTGACATTTTGTGCATGTGAATGCTCCCTTGTTATAAATTATGTATTTACTAAGTTAAGAATGTACAGTACAGTCATACAGAATAACACTATTTCAAATAGGTTTATAAGGAAGTGGTTCTAAAGTAGTGTCTTGACCCCCTCCCCCCTCAAAACAATCGACTGCAGTTAAAATGTTTGTTCCCAAAAATAGCATAAAGCTTAAATTTCAGTCCATTATTTTACAATTATTACTTGATTTATAAGTTTTTGTACCTAACCTATAATAAGAGTTGCTCAAACTGAAGCTGAATAGTCAATATTTTAAGAGCTAGTTTCACCTCATTATACACTCTAATTAACAAAAACACTGTAATTAACAAAAACACTGTACTAAACAAAAACAAGTATAATGTTCATTAAATAATGTAAATCAATGTTGCTTTGCAATTGTCCAATCACAAGTGTTCTATAACGGTGCACATCATTTTTACATTCACTAGTTTTAACACCACAACAGGATCAACCATTACAGATCTCAGAATCTGTTCAGTGGCCTGCACACTCTGTCTGGTTGCGATTCAACTCCACAAACTTGCAGATATTTTGAATCCCCTAGTTTTTTGGCTTTCAGTGATGACATGAACTTGAATTTCACTGTAAAAGAAGTTTCTAACTCGTTTAGAGCACCATGTTCATTTCAACATCTTTTTCCCCAATTTCTCTCTGCGAATCTCCCTTTTTGTTTTTTCTTTTTCCATTTTTTCAAACATGGATCGAGTCATGATTCCCTCTGGGACAGGTGCTATGGCATCATATAGTCCCATCTCCTGATGCCTCTGTTTAGCAAACTCAACCAGTCCCTTAAAGGAAAGGATTTTATAAAATAACAGAGAAATTACATCACTGAAAATCTGCTTAAAAAAATCATTCCATGATGTAGATTTATCTACTTACATCAAAATAAAATTAAAGATATAAAACAGATCACCAACACTTTGTGACAATGCAGCAGTAAATTAATTTTGTTGACCGGTTTCGACCAGGGACGGTCTTCATCAGAACCATTGAAGTGTTTGGTTATATATATTCCTATATTCATTTACCAATTAAATCAAAAAGAATTGTTATTACTAACTGAAATAAAGTTTTCATCATTTATTCTATGTTTTTCATACCTGGAATGTTCTTGGTTCATATATGCAAATGTCATGTAAAACCTTCTTGTCTAGCTGAACGTCTGACTGCAAGTGGAAAAAGATAAAACTCAAATACATATATTTATATGATCATAAGCTTGCATTCAGCATTGTTAGTACACGGAACATGGCAAAATTAAATTTAAGATTAAAAGCACCTTACTATTAGCAGGTTGGGGGGCAACGTAAATTCTGCTATAATGGTGGTATATCACTATTATAGTGAGATTCCGCTATATTTTCAGCCGTAGTTACCCTCGATTTCATCAAACAACATGCTTGCTGTTTAAAGCGCAAGCCATGGTGGGTATAAAAATGGACAATAATTGATATCTTTACATGTTATGAATTTTATTAAATTTTCTGCCGATGCGTTTAATAATGCGAACACACTTTTGAAAACGGAAGTTACAATTTTAACATAGCAACCAGTGATTGCAGTAGTATTCAAGCATAACTAAGTCTTATTTTCTCTCACACATGTATACAAATTGTTGCTTGTAATAACTTTCAATCCGGATGAGAAGAAGTATGTGGAATTTGCAGTAGAAATGATGATTTTTGACTGCATGGTTACCGGTATGGAGGCCCGTTGTAGCAAATGGAAAAAGCTCAATGCACGTACACTTATATCACTGATGTATCTGATTTAATTGTTTCTTTTAAATGCAAAAAAATCGTAAACAATCTGTAAAATGTCACTTCAGCAGGTAATCCCAAATATGATGTTTATATGATATTTGTCTTGGGAATGTTAAACAAAATATTGAAAAAAAAAATTACTTGTACCTTTTCTTTAATTTCTGCATGATAACCTTGATGAAAAAAAAAACTGTATACAATGACTATAAAGTATATAGTGTGGGGAATGTTTGGCAGAATTTCTCAGAAGAAATATTTGTGCTTTATATTATACAATTATTGACTTTGATGAGGTGTTCTCGTGACTATACAAACCTGGCCAGGTATTGGTTGACCGAGGTCGAATGCTGAGATTACATTGTAACCAATACCTGACCAGGTTTGTATAGTACAGGTAAACCGAATTTAAAAGGCAATAACCGTTTTATTAAATAATAAGAAATTTTACATTCTTGACACTTCAGATCTTTTCTCCTACAAATGTAAACAATCATTACATATTGTGTAGTGTAAAAAACGTATTATAATGATATTTCAACTTAACAACTGATTAACAGTGGAAAACAACATTCTAATAATTAAATACTCAACTTTTTAAATTAAATTTGAGGTGAACTCACTCTAAGGTACACATCAGGAAAGAGAGTCTAAACCAATCAGAGAGGATCAAAATTCCTGATCATTTAATAATATGTTTGATCCACGCAATTATGATGCACAAAAATAAAGAATGGTTATTTATTTTTCATCTGGAACACGAAATATGGCCGTAGTTTCAAAAAAAAAAAACGTTGAGAAATATTTATATCCACTGCAGATTTTCTTCTCTTTATATGAAAACCACTTCTTTCATCATTCAGTGAATTTCGATTATTGCTGGTTTTTCAAGTCACCTGAAGATTTCTTTCGCAGTGTGCTTTTCAATCAGTGAACTCACAATGACGTTCATATAAATAATACAATATTTAACGTACTTAAACCTACTTTATATAATTATTTACATTGTATACAAATAAATATACACAAATAATGTCTTTCTTTATTCATTAAAGGGAATAAACGGTTACAGCTTTTGCAGAAAACTGCTAACGCAGGTTACTATCCTGTGCATTTTTTCTGCAATAGTTGTAACGTTTATTCCTGGACTAACAATCAAATAAAACAATTTATTTTTTAAATACTTGGTAAAATTTTCAAATTAAGAAACCGTTCAAATTAAGAAACCGTTCCACTTTTTTTTTCAAATTTGATATTGTCATTCTGGTATAATTTCAATTAGGATTTCATAATCTTTTTTCAGCTCAGAACGTTCTAGAATAAAATTTCATGCTATAAACAATAAATTTCAAGTATATAAAGTTTTCTTTATCTTGATAAGGCTAAATCGTTCAAACTTGTGGTTTCATCATTGAGACAATAAACATTATACTGGGAATTACCTGTAGAAGTGGCATCTTATAAATGTTGTACGATTTATTACATTTAAGTAATACAAATCAGATACATCAGTGTTATAAGTGTACATGCATTGAGCCTCCATACCGGTAACCATGCAGTCAAAAATCATCATTTTTACTGCAAATTCCACATACTTCTTCTCATCCAGGTTGAAAGTTATTACAAGCAATAATTTGTATACATTTGTGAGAGAAAGTAAGATTTAGTTATGCTTGAATACTACTGCAATCACTGGTTGCTATGTTAAAAATGTAACTTCTGTTTTCAAAAGTGTGTTCGCATTATTAAACGCATCGGCAGAAAATTTAATAAAATTCATAACATGTAAAGATATCAATTATTGTCCATTTTTATACCCACCATGGCTTGCGCTTTAAACAGCAAGCATGTTGTTTGATGAAATCGAGGGTAACTACGGCTGAAAATATAGCGGAATCTCACTATAATAGTGATATACCACCATTATAGCAGAATTTACGTTGCCCCCCAACCTGATTAGATCACAAATAGTCATCAATAACACATTTATTTATACTTTTAGTACATCTGGTGACTGACCTCAGCTAGCACTGACATAAAGGGAACATATTCCATGTCGTGTTCCGCTAGAGCTGCTGAGAGGCGCTGAATCCACATCTACAAAAGTTAGCAATAGCAAATATAAGAGGGAAACGTACAAAGATCTTGTACAATCTGAAATCTCAATCAACATGATCAAGATATTAACATAAGTTAAAGATTCATTAGATGGAAAACTTAGAAGACTAGAGGCATACATTATTGTACAATCTGAAAATTATGGAAGGGTTGAGTGTGTTAAAAAATTATTTTCTAAAATAATAAACATGTTTATAGTAAGAAAATGTTATGAGATTTTTCATAAATATTGCTTTACTTATTGGGAACAAGGTCTTTTACTCTAGAAATAATCATTAGAACTATTCTGCACAGTCCAAAGATGTTGTGTAGTCCAGAAAGTATCATAAGAACTATTGTGTAGTCCAGAGATAATCATAAGAACTGTTGTGTAGTCCAGAAAGTATCATAAGAACTATTGTGTAGTCTAGTGATAATCTTTAGAACTATTCTGTAGTCCAGAGATAATCATTAGAACTATTCTGTAGTCCAGAAGCAATACACTACTTGCTTTAAGTGAGTTTATACTGACCTCTTTCATATCCATTTTCTTTTGTTTTCGTGTTCTTGTGACCCTTTGTAACATCTTCTGAGCTGCACGGACAGCTATAGCATAGCAGTTCCTCCTTCTACCATAAAAATGCTATTAAAATGCAAAACATCATATTTAAATTTACTAAACTTCTAAGTTCCATTTTACACACAGTCAAAGTACGGTCAAACCTGTTATCTGAACTCGATGGGACTGAGGAAAAAAATTCAAGATATCCAAGGATTTGAGATATCAAGGGTAAAATACTTCAATAAAAAGTGGTTAAGACTTCAAAATTACTTTGACTTATCCATGGTATTCGAGATATCAGTGTTTGAGATACTGTGAAGTTCAACTGTATACACTTTCAATAATATTCAGATCACTCTTTAACATATATAAGTATAGTAAGTATTTGATATAATAGTTTCAATATAAAAGAATCAGATTCACTTTTTTTGACTAAAATAATCAGGTATGTTAGATGCAATTTCAATTTAAAGGGGGGTACAACTAAACAGAAAATGGGAAAAATATTATTTGGGGAATAAAAGTTCATCAGACATTATCAACGTAACTGGCATTCAGCAATGGTTTTCTGTTGAATAGTATATACTGGCAAAATACGGGGGCTGGGGTAAAGGATCCGTGTAGTCACAGATTGCCACAAAGTTTGTGACTTTCTATCACCGAGACATTTTAGAGCAAATTTTATTAACAAATAGAAAATAACGCTTTAGATAAAAAAAAATCATAATCCCTACATATAGAGAGAGGGGGAAGGGTTAGGGTTTTTTTAATCGAAGGCTTTATTTGCAACTTATTAATAAAATTTCTGGTGCCATACTGGCAAAAAGAAAAATTAGAACAAACCCATGTCAACCGAAAAATAAAATTCTTCTTGTTCGTTCGATCTGGATGAGAAATTCCTTCGTGCATTTTCCGAAGGCGAAAGAGTCTAGCATAAACTTGACGAGATAGGAAAACCATGTTTGGCAGGCAATACTGAGAACTGCAGAACGCAGCACGTTTTCACCGTTTTGGTCCGCAAGCCAAGGGTATTTGTACTTTCACTTTGTTAAGTCCATTATTAACCCGTACGACGAATGGTGTGCATTAAATATCTTTATGAAATTCGTTTTTTTTACTTTAAATGACAAATATTCCTTAAGTTTTTATGCTTTTATGGAGAATTAGTAATAAAATGAAACACACAGCAGAAATAATGACGGCCTGTTTTATTTTTGACATGTTGACAGATCGGTTATCAAAAGTGAAAGTAAACATTTTGCATGACTGATCAAGGTCAGAGTTCAGGGAATAGGACCATACAAGACGTGCACGTACACCGGCTTCAGTTGTAGGAGGTAGAACAACGTTGACACTTGTGAAAGGAATAACTATACAGAATCTCAACAAGATAACAATGTCACAACCAACGTAAGTCATCTCTACTGTTAAAGTCTGTAAGCTGACAGTTTGTCAAAGATGTTATGATGTTGTGTGGTGTTGAAATGTAGAAATACCTTAGTCATTATAGATTAAACTATAGCTATATAGTTTATAAACTATTTATAAAGTAAAGATTATATTTTATAAGGTACAGACCAAACCATAATAAATATTTGTTCATCCCTCAAGAAATACCTATTATAATAAAAATCGCACTTTGCTTTTAATCAAACATTCATTATTCCTTTCCTTCATTGTCTTGATCAACTAAATTTTATTACAGTGATCAATCAGCGTAATGACAAGTTACAAGTTCAACGCCATACCAGATTTTTACTGAATTATATCCAAATATTTTCATAATAATTTGGTAAACCAATCAACATCTTGAATCTGAGAATAAATATTGGATATCATTTTTGTCTGTTCAGCCCAGCTTTGTAAAACAGTAGCTAGAGTATAGTTTTCAGTCAGCATTATGCATGATGATTGCATATACATGTTCAAAAACTCTGTTTGATCCTTTTTGTCAGGTTTGATGCTTTTCAAAGTCAAAACAAACTCTTTTTACAAATATATTAATACCTTGGACTTTCAATAGACAGCGACATCCTTATATTTATGTCACACCAAAAAGTCAAACAGTGACATAGACTGTATATTTCATACCAGAACAAGCTGTAGCAGAGGAAAATCACATTGATTTCACAAAGTTCATGATCAGTTACTGCAAACATTATCTCCTACAATCAAAACGTTAACGTGCATTATTTCATTCTTTGTCAGTAACTCCTGAAAGTCCAAGCTATGGATAGAAACGTTCTAATTTTACATGTACTTTTTATTTGTCAGCCATTTGTCCCTTAATATGTATGAAAGTTTAGCTTATACATGGTTTACTATTAGAGCTACTCATTTCCTTGCTTTCACTGTGAGGAAGTAAGAAGGCAAAGGTGACAAATGAGGAAGTGAGATCTAGGCAGAAAACTCAGGGAGTGAGAATATAAGGGAGACAATTGAAGGAGTGTTGAGTAGGCAAAAAACTCAGAGAGTGAGGTTGAAATGGAGACAACTGATGGAGTGTTGAGTAGGCAAAAAACCCAGGGAGTGAGGTTGAAATGGAGACAACTGATGGGGTGTTGAGTAGACAAAAAACCCAGGGAGTTAGAATGTAAGGGAAACAACAGATGAAATGTTGAGTAGGCAAAAAACCCAGGGAGTGAAAATGTAAGGGAGACAACTGATGGAGTGTTGAGTAGGCAAAAAACTCTGGGAGTGAGAATGTAAGGGAAACAATTGAGGGAGTGTTGAGTTGAAAAATCTCAGGGATTGAGAATGTAAGGTGGGCAATTGATGTAGTGTTGAGTAGGTAAAAATCCAGGGAGTGAGGTTGTAAGGGAGACAATTGAAGGAGTGTTGAGTAGGTAAAAAATCCAGGGAGTGAGAAGGTAATGGAGACAATTGAAGGAGTGTTGAGTTGGTAAAAACTCAGGGAGAGAGAATGTAAGGGAGACAATTGATGGAGTGTTATAAGGCAAAAAACTCAGGGAGTGAAGTTGTAAGGGAGGCAGTTGAAGGAGTGTTGTGTTGAAAAATGTCAGGGAGTGAGAATGTAAGACATTTGATTTAGTGTTAAGTAGGCAAAAAACTCAGGGAGTGAGAAGGTAAGGGAAACAATTGCAGGAGTGTTGAAAAATGAACCAGAGTATGAGGATCCTGGGAGGGGATGAAGACAATGCTAGCCTTACTCTCTCATCCTGGAAAATTTACTCCCTCGACATCCCAGCAATTTTACTCATGCATTGTTGTTCCTTTACTCTCAACTCCTCAATTTTAATCTCATGTTTTTCTCACTACAGGGATAAGAATTAGCAAGCAGGTGTCCCTGTAAATCAGCCTTAGTATATATAAGCATCACTGATAATTCATTACTTGTGCCCTTGCACTTCATACACACCTTTGTCTGCTCAAGTTGCAAGTGAGCATCCCTTGTTTAAATATTATACAATTATGGACTCTTTCAGTGGTGAATATGGTTTGTTATTCACCAGAAAAATATCAATATTGACCTCGGCGAAAGAGTCGATCCATAATTGTTTTATTATATAGTCAGGATTTGAATGAATAAGACATTGAAGGCTGCATGATGACTCCATTTTCATTAACGAACTTCTGTCGTAGAAAAATAAAAATAAAATGTCCAGATTATAACTAATAACTTCCATGTTTTCCTTTTGCTGTGTGTAAGACATCTAAAAGTTTGGAAAATTATCCTACGAGAAATTTGCCTAAAAGTTTTCCTGCTCAGATATACAGCTGGCTCCGGCAGTTGCAACCATTGTTTTCAACGTTGTTTTAGGTATTGATTGTGACGTCACAATGCCGCTGCACGTGCACTGACCCCCCTTTTGAATACGGCTTCAAATCCAGTGAATATGTAGTATTATGAACCGTTTGCGTTTGTATAGATTATATAGGGACTATTTATAGACTATATAATAATCACTGTTAAGCATGACACACACAAGATGGACATTTTCCTAACACCTTGTAAAATGATCCATAGAGCTCCTAGAGAGAGTTTTATTATCTGGTCTCAGTGCTCTATGGAGGGTATGGTCCACACTCAAATTACTACATTTGTCTGAGTAAATGGCTAGGGATCTAAGATAATTTCAAAAGGCTAGTACTTAATTAAAAGACCTGTGTATGCCTTACTTTTAAAATGTTAATTGGTTTGCATTTTAACACATAAAAGTTCATTATATTTGAAAGTAACTAAAAGGCATGATTTTCCTGGTTGGCTGCAAAAAAATCAGTCTTTTCTTTACACTAATGTTTAAGTATTTTTTTTTATCAAGATAAGAGGAGACATATTTTTCAGATTAAATTTTCAGATTAAAGATGACAAGAGATGACACTTATAGATCTGTCTATTTGCAATTACTGGAATGAATATGATTATACATGACATTCTGCAAAAACATCAATATATGCAAGTTTCAAAATATCAAAGTTGGGACTCTAAAATTACAACTCTGTAAAATTATTTATTTTCTTGGGGTCAAATTTTCATGGTTTGAGGAAAAGAAAATAGTTGTGGGGGTTTTATTTTATGGTTGGTGAGGAAACATAATACCATAGTTTGAAATTTTTATGTTAACAATTCATAGGGGACATGAATATTCATTAGTCTCTTGTTCCATGAAAACAACCCCCCCACCCCCCAATAAAAAATGTGATTTCACAGAAAAAAAGGCATTTTAGACAATTTTCTTAGACAAATCCCTAGCTTGCAATAGCCTTGACTGAGACTTTAGTTTGATGGTGTATTCTTGGAAAACTATAGAGTTCTTGCTTTCATATAGGTACATGTAGTCTGCTGGTTTAGTTTTAGTCATATTTAGTCATATGGAGATCATATTTGCATTACTTCAAGAAAAGTATTTTGATATTAGTTTAATATTGTCAAGCATAACACGTGTCTACTTTCATAAAAATTGGTGTTTGGTTTTTTTGTCGAGGTTGAGACTGTATTATATGGTTACTGTGCATTTGTTGGAGACATTAGAAGCCTGTTGCTGGGTACTTTTGTTGTAAGATTTATTGGATGGTATTATATGGTTACTGTGCATTTTTTGGAGACATTAGAAGCCTGTTTCTGAGTACTTTTGTTGTAAAATTTATTGGATGGTATTATATAGTTACTGTGCATTTGTTGGAGACATTAGAAGCCTGTTGCTGGGTACTTTTGTTGTAAGATTTATTGGATGGTATTATATGGTTACTGTGCATTTTTTGGAGACATAAGAAGCCTGTTTCTGAGTACTTTTGTTGTAAAATTTATTGGATGGTATTATATAGTTACTGTGCATTTGTTGGAGACATTAGAAGCCTGTTGCTGGGTACTTTTGTTGTAAGATTTATTGGATGGTATTATATGGTTACTGTGCATTTTTTGGAGACATTAGAAGCCTGTTTCTGAGTACTTTTGTTGTAAAATTTATTGGATGGTATTATATAGTTACTGTGCATTTGTTGGAGACATTAGAAGCCTGTTGCTGGGTACTTTTGTTGTAAGATTTATTGGATGGTATTATATAGTTACTGTGCATTTGTTGGAGACATTAGAAGCCTGTTGCTGGGTACCTTTGTTGTAAGATTTATGTGATGGAGAATGTAAAACAAATGAAGACATGTTACTTCCTGATGGGGGGATATGATGGTTTATGACTCAGAGATGACAGAAAAAAATTTCCTGTTCAACAAACGCAGGGGAACTCTCTCATCATCCGTAGTGTCACACTAATCTACACTAATCTACTGAATAATATACTGAATAAGCTTAAGTTGATGGGGATGAAAATATTACATGGCCTCTTAGCATAAAAAATATAAAGTCAACATCTAATGGTAACAAGGTTATTCATCATAATAAATCAAACACCTGCTGATTGAGTCATTTCCCAACAGTTAGAACAGAGTCATGTGGTAGAGAATACCTTGGGTACCCTGCTAATTCTGCAGTGTTAACTTAATTCTCTAGTACTTCAGTGTGCCTCTTATTGGGGGGGGGGGGGGGTATTCCACATTACTACACAGGACTTGGTACAGGGTTGTAATATTCAGGTGACAGTTAAGGCCCTTGGGCATCTTGTTTATTAATGTTTAATACATACATATTCTTCAGTTTTAAAGAGCATATGCTAAATGGAATAAAAAGCTATGATTGTAATTCTATAATATTTATATTGGAGGAAAAAAATCATGAAAATTAAAAAAAAAATGAAAAAGCAACATCAAAATCCAAAACAGAGCCCCTGTGCCCTGATATTGTTTTTCCTCAAATATTAAGCACAACAGATCTGTTTGTTGGAAGTTATAATGAAGAATAATGAGGAAAAGCATTTACCATGTTAACAATAATATGTTTGAGTTGTGTTCATTACATGTATATATTACAGGCCTAATCTGTAATGTTGAATGTAAAGTTTTATTCTGTGTATATCAGATTGTGTTGATTACATGTTTAACATTTGCTTTAGTGGGCAGAAAACAAGAAACAAATGAGTTTTTTGATCTAAGTAACTGAGACCAAGTCAGATTTCATGACTGAAGTCAATAAATCTTCATATCACTGTAATCAAGCAGAAAGTCTAAGAAACATGATACAGGTTTATAACATCACATAAAAACACTGAACCAACAAATAATGTGACTGTTTATGGAAAGCAATGTATGAATCTCATTAAAATACTCCCTAATATATGGTATATGCTTGAACTTAAAGACATTTTTTTTTGGGTCTTATATTAAATTGATAAGGTTTACATATCTAAAAGTTACAGAATACTTAAACCCCCTCCCCCAACCCCTAAATGGAAATGAATATTTTTAATGAAACAGTTTGAAAGTATTATTCAGTGTGATTTAATGCAATCATTTTGATTGATTGATTGATTTTTACAGGGGGGACATTGCCTTGATTGGACTGGCTGTTATGGGTCAGAATCTGATCCTGAACATGAATGACCATGGCTTTACAGTAAGTAGACACAGTAAACTTTAATTATATGCAGTGCTTTCAAATAAACCTGTTAACATTTTATATCAAAGGAAATGTCATTTTATTAGGAATATAAAGTTCAGATGTATTCAAAACTCTCCCAAAATTGCCAAAATGTCAGGGCTGCATGGAAACAATGGAAACACTGCTTTATGATATGAAAGTGACTAAATAATCTACTTTGAAATTCTAGTACCGGGGTATTAATACATGTATATTGAAATGTTTGCTTCAGGTTGTTGCATTCAATAGAACTGTAGAAAAGGTGGAACACTTTTTACAAAATGAGGCCAAAGGAACAAAAGTCATTGGGGCAAAGTCATTAGAGGATATGGTCAGCAAATTGAAGAAACCAAGGAGGGTCATGTTGCTGGTCAAGGCCGGTCAAGCAGTGGACGACTTCATCCTCAAACTGGTCAGACTTTTGTAATAAAGACTGATCAATGATGATTTAGAAATGTTTCGGTCAAACATGTACCTAATTTGTTTTAATTTTACTAGCTCTGCATTGTTTTTTTTCACTTTGTTGCATTGAAGGTCCCTTTATTAGAAAAAGGAGATATTATTATAGATGGAGGAAATTCAGAATACAAAGACAGTAATGTAAGTATAGAAATGATGATTACCTGAAAAGTTGGAGATACATTGCACTGTCTTTGATTTGTGATACTTTTTTTTGTGTACATGGGGGAAAATGTGTTTAGTATTCAAATACATCTTAGAAAATAATAATTTTAATGAAAAAATAAATTTGTTTGGGTGTAACAGTGTACAATGTACATTAAATTAATATCTTTTGAATAAATTGATGAATTTGTCTTCGCATGTGTGTTAAGGCTAGGTATAGGCGTTTTTATGCAAATGAGCTAATAAAAACGCATAAGAGGTATATTTATTATTCAGAGAAAGTGTCGATTTATTTTCTTATGCATATTAAGTACCCTCGATATTTTATAGCCAGTACACATTATGACGTCATATTATGACGTCACTGATCTTACCTACTGGAGGTAATAAAACACATCAACAAAACTGCTTCGACGCAAGGGATTACCCGATTTATTTTAACATAAAAATTGTATAATGCTAAGAAGAATATTATATAGATAAATAAAACTACTGCACAAATCCTAGGCATTTTCTCATTTGATCGGAATTTGAGGAAACTTATACTGGACTGTACATTTTTACCCTTATTCAACTTCAAACTTTGCAAATAGAAATTATACAAATGAGCTGTTGATATTTGTGCAGCAATACCAGCAAAGTTTGGAATGTTTTGTTTCTAAATATACCTTGTTTCAATAAAATAAAATACTGCGTGCCCTTGCGCCAAAACATTTTTGTTGATATCCATTATAATCTTGTGTAGTAAAAAACAATGACATCATAATATGACGTCATAATGTGTACTGGCTATCTCATGTCGTAGGTACCAAGTATGTATTACACAATAAGTTTTAACTTTCTCTGTATAACAGATATAGTCCTTAGGCATTTTAACTAGATTATTTGCATAGAAATGCCTATACCTAGCCTTAACTCACCAGCGTTGGGACTCTTGTGTTGGAGATACTCTTGAATTTAAAGTTGTCCCTGTCATTTCAGAGGAGATGCAAGGCTTTGGCTGCTCAGGGCCTACTATTTGTGGGGAGTGGTGTATCTGGGGGTGAGGATGGTGCTAGGTATGGACCCTCCCTCATGCCAGGAGGAGCAGAACAAGCTTGGTGAGTGGAAGAATGGAATTTTTTTACTGTTCATTGCCCTTTTACTTGTCAAAAACATATTCTGCAAAACTTTTCAAGACTTTTTAATCTTACAGGATGTACAGTCCTGAAAGAAATCCAATAAAAGCTTCTAATCATTTTCTGTTTTCAGGCCAGCTATTAAAGATATTTTCCAGTCCATATCAGCAAAAGCAGGCAAGGAGCCATGTTGTGACTGGGTAAGATAGAGATTTCCAATGTGTAAGATAGAGATTTCCAATGGGGAGGATAGAGATATCTAATGGGTAAGATAGAGTTTTCCAGTGGGAAAGATAGAGCTATCCAATAGGAAAGAAAAAGCTTACCAATGGGTAAGATAAGGATTTCCAATGGGGAGGATAAAGATATCCAATGGGAAAGATCGAGCTTTCCAATGGGAAAGATGGAGCTTTCCAATGGGAAAGATAGAGATATCCAATAGAAAGAAAGAGTAACAATGGGTAAGATAGATCTTTCAAATGGATAAGATAGAGCTTTCTAATGGGTAAGATAGAGCTTTCCAATAGGAAAAAAAGAACAATATTAGGTACATATTTCAGAATTTTTTCAAAATTCTTAAAGTAATTGAATTTACGTACATATATCTGTCTTATCCATGATCATATACATAACTAATATTATAAAATACAAGAATTCATTTCTTGAGCTGGAAATCACCATTTACCTAAAACAGTGAATTTTAAGTTAATCACCTTCCTGCATCTTTCCTCCACATAAACTCTCATATTTTCATAAAAGGATTTGATATGATATCTTTAACTTTGGAATGACTTGACTTAGGTTGGACCAGATGGAGCAGGACACTTTGTTAAGATGGTACACAATGGTATAGAGTACGGGGACATGCAGTTAATCTGTGAGGCTTATCACCTGATGAAGGACGCGCTAGGGATGTCCCAGGCAGAAATGGCTGATGTAAGCTTATAAAAATCAATATCATCAGAAAAAAGACTGAAATAGGTCACATTAGGCATTCAAATGAATTCTTGCCTTGGGCATTGATCTTTCGTTTCTTCTGCAGAAGCAGAGTGACTTTTATTAATTGTGTTTTGCAAATCCAGCCTAAGGAAACACACCTGTTCAATTGTTTTTGTCAGAGATCACATACTCTTTACAGTGATGTTAAATCATTGGCCTGCAATGTTGGTTTTGATAAATTGTGGAAAAATGGAAAGAGTTACCTGCCATTATCCCTAGACTTTAAAAACTATTTCTAGACTTACCATTTTGCAGGAATTCTGATGTTTAAAATAACCGCAAAAGTATTCAGCTTGTGTTTCTGATTTTTTTTACACTTTGATAAAAAATCCCAGAAATCAGATTTGCATCTTATGAAACATCTTTGCAAATGCAAGAGTTCTTAACATGCCTTAGCTAATGCGTTTTTGACAAAGGAACATGAACTGTAATAGTAAAGAGATGAAGAACTTAAATACATAGGTGTATGTGATACTTGCTAACACAAAAAAAGGGAGGGAACCCTTCAATCTGTAGTGCAGTTTTCATGCAAGACATGAAAAAATACTCATGTTTTTGTGTCACAAGCTAATTCTATGGCAATATAACATGCTTTTTTTCTCAATTACCTCATATAGAAAATCTGGTAAAGGTAGATAAGAGGCTATAAGGAGACACAGGCTATAAGGAGACACATGAATGATAGACTTCCATTCTGCTATTATAGGCTTATTGTTTCTACCTATCTGTATAAAATATTAGATACTTATGTAAAAAACAAATTCTTCTTCAGACATTAGATGAATGGAACAAAGGTGAGCTGGACTCTTTCCTGATAGAAATCTCTCGAGATATTCTATGTTTTAAAGACAAAGATGGGCAGTATCTACTGGAGAAGATCCGAGACACCGCAGGACAGGTCAGTGTCTTGTATATTTCTTATTAGCATCTAAATGGAAAACAAAATTTAATTTCCTGAGCTTACGACCAATCACTCTCCTGAATGGTAACATTTATCAGTGACTATTGATTTTAAAATGTATCTTTTTTTGTAGAAAGGAACTGGCAAATGGACAGCCATATCTGCCCTTGAATATGGAGTCCCTGTTTCACTTATTGGTAAGACAGGAATTCAAAGTGGTCTTGCTCATATGGTTTGTCCATGGTTTAAAGATTACTATTTTGGTTCATATATAAGCAAAAAGATAAAATGTTTCTCTCAATTAGTGAGTTCGTGCATTTAACAAAAAATAGAATAAATTTCTTGAAGCATTTTTCAATAAAAGTTTTGAATAATTTAGTTATTCTTGATGCTGACATTATATTATTCTGTTACAGCTGAATCAGTGTTTGCTAGATGTTTATCTTCACTACAAGGGGAAAGAATTGAAGCTAGTAAACAGATACAAGGTCCAAGTAAAACAAAATATGAAGGAGACAAAAAGCAGTTTATAAATGATATCAAATATGTAAGATTCTAATTTATACATTCTCCATTTATTCTAGGGCTCTTACAAAACTCTATGCCTGACAGAATTCATGTCTATCTGTCTGTCTGACCGACAGCATTTTTATGTGACACTATTTAATATGACCCTTCAGACTTTACATTCACTTCAAATGTTAAGAGTGGTTCAAGGAGGCATTGATTATAGATTTGTTGTTTCTTGTGATGTGATAATTTGTGTATTTTTAGGTCACCTGAGTCACTTAGGTGACCTTTTGCTGTTTTTGTCTATCGTCTTGTTATATGCGTCGTGTGTAAACATTTAGACATTTTTTAGCGTCTTCTCTGGAGGAACTGGACTAATTTCAACCAGTTTTGCCATGTAGCATATAAGGGTAAAGGGGAACAACAAACATTTTGAATTTTGTGGTCTCCCACCCCCTTGAGGCTCAAGGAGTGGGGCTAAAACTATCAAAATTAATGCAATCATGAAATTCATAGCCCTTGGCTCAGAGGTTCTTGTATTGAGGCATGGCCCTATCCTCTGTAGATGATGTATTGAAAATAAAGTATTTGTTTGAAAACCTTTTTCTGTCCCTGGGCATCTAGGTAATTAATCACTGTAATTACTGAAATTGAAAGGCCAATTGAATAAAAGAATTATTATAATACAAAATTTTTAATGTATGATACAAAAAGTACTTTCATAAATTTAAGTGGTCAGGTAGTCATGTAAAAGATAGATAAATAAATTTGAGACAAAAATACCTTATCTCTGTACATTAGACCAAGAGAGGCTTATGAGAGAGTGAGAGTATGTGAGAGGTGTAAATATATATATGTATTCAAGTAATGTTGTTCTGTTTAGTCTGGATGGTGATAGTGACAATTGGAAATGTATTAGCACTGGCAAGTAAATACAGTAAAACTTGTTTAGTACCAACACGGATATTGTGAATTCACGGATATAGCGAAGTTTTCTTGGATCCCCAGCTATATAAATTTTACAAATTCCTTATACAGATATAATGAAGTAATTTCACAGGTCCCAATGACTTCGTTATAACCGAGTTTAACTGTAGATATATTTTTTATAATTTGCTACTGAGTACTAAACGAACTGTTTTGTTGATCCCTGATCATCTAATTTCTCTTGCTTTTGGGCAACATAGCTTCATCTATCTGTTTATTTTGTTTAAGTTATACTTCTATGGATCCTTTACAATGTTGTATTATATTCAGGTGACTGTTAAGGCCCTTGGGCTTCTTGTTCTACCTGTCATATTTATTATGTAAGTTAAGAAACACAGTTTTTTTTATACTTTGGGATTATTTGTTCAAGGCAAAAAAAAAATTATAAGTAAATACTTATATGAAGCAAAAGCTCCAGTAATTTCAAGGCACCTTATGTTTTAAATGCATTGGAGGAAGTTGCAATAAGCCAAACCACTTTTCTTTTTGAAAACACAACTTCAGTGCCTTTTGAAATTATTTATAATGATTCTATTTATAACATTTCTTTATAAAAGTATAAAAGAAATTGCAGTTTTAGTGAATGTTCCAATGTGTTGGGGGTTTTGATTACCATATCTTGTTCTTTTGTATATTGAACAATTCTGACATCTGTAACATTCCTGAAAGTTTATATGATGTACTCCCTTTTCAGGCCCTGTATGCCTCTAAGATAGTTTCCTATGCCCAAGGTTTTATGTTGATGAGGGAGGCAGCTAAAGAGTTTGGGTGGAAGCTGAACTTCGGGGGCATTGCCCTGATGTGGAGAGGTGGATGCATCATTAGAAGGTTTGTCTAAACTAGTTCTAATTTTAACGGAGACCATTACAGATGTTCCCCAAATGCTCCCCATACTCCTTTTGGGGCCTCATTCCCTATAAGCATTAAATTAAGCAAAACCTTTGTATAGACTTAACTACATACACAACATAGTTTGAACTTTATTTTCTTTTTCCCTGGAGTTGAAGAGTTCTAATACTTAAAGGAACTGTACGTGTGCTACATTTTAATGTCTGCTCAGCTGTTGTACACTTCTTCTAAAACAAGTTTGGATAAACAAAACATCTAGAATATATGTTTAGTAATTTTTGTATTTTTGCATGCTGGTTTTTTGTCTATGAACATCTGATGGCACTATAATCTTAAATTAAGAATATGTTGAAAAATTATCAGTAGGTAAGGTACGTTGCATATTTCGTTAAGTACATGTGCATGCACATGACTTAGAAAATTACCATATACATATACACTATCTCAAAGAATGCCATATGATAAAGAGCTCCCTTTTAGATTTCAAAGAATTTCACTAAAAATGTAGAAAGTTACAACAACATGAATATTTACCAATCAGAAATCAGCACATGTGCATGCATGTCCTTATATTCATTTCTGATGATTGAATAATGCAGGAAGTTGTATTATTAACATCAACTCTATGTATCATCTTTTTTCATTAAAAACTAAGAAAGTTATAAATATTAACAACCTTACCCAATCAGATTTCAGCACATGTGTGTGTGCATATTTTCTAATTTCTCACTTGTATATTCTTTAAGTTCTAAAAAAGATCTTAAAGGTATGTGTGATTATGTGATCATTTACTGTTTTACTTCCAGATTAAGTTATATGTGTTTTTTTCCCCTGTATTTAGTGTGTTCTTGGGAAACATCAAGGAAGCTTTCGACAAGAACCCACAACTGAGTAATCTATTACTGGACGATTTCTTCAAGAAAGAGGTCCAGAAATGTCAGGTATGAACTGCTATAGAAGCATAGTCTAGATAACTCAGTAGTCTGGTTGTTCTGTCTGTATATTGATTTAAATTAAGCATAAGTTTAAATGTTTTATGTGTGCATTTAAACACACGAGGGTTGTCCTAGAAAAATGTGAACATTTTCAATATCTTTTATTTCCCTGATACTATAAAATTAAAAATTGGTATACACCATAATCAACATTTTTGTGTCGCCTGCAGAGCGGAGTGGCACTAAGGGTTAACCCGGCGTCTGTCTGTCTGTCCGTCTCTCTAGCTGTCTGTCTCTCTGTCTGTCACACGCTATATCTCAAGAACTGTCAGAGGTATGGATTTAATATTTTGCACATATATTGCTTGGCACTATGGCTTTTGTAATTTACCATGATTACTGACCTTGTGACCTTTGACCTACTTTTCAAAATAGCTCATAGTGCCAATATACAGTATATTTTTTTGCATTAAAGAGGTAAGTCTATGCTACATGTATTAAGCATGTGCACTGTTCATCATAAGACAATATGAAAAATACCAGCATTACAAGCCACTTGACCTTGATCTTTGACGTACCTTGTAAAAAATATCTTGGGCAGTTTAATTAAACTTATGACTTTTTAATTTTGAGAGGCAGAGTTTAGATAATTAGCTTTTATACATGTTTATGAGCTCATGATAGTGTACTTTGAAATCGTATGATATTCAGTTACCAGACAAACTTATATTTTTAAATACTATGAAAATACATTAAGATCGGTATTCCACTATGGATTGTGTAGACTGAGAATTGTAGTAATGACAGACTGAATTCTCTCTTGGAGGACTGTTGGAATTACGTATTAATAAAATGACAAAGAGTTATTTCTATTAATTTTGATTTAATTTTTCATTTGAGGGTTATGGAACCATATTTTCTTTGACTGTCAGATTCTCTTGCAGTCATACTTTCCATGGATGCCATTTTTTTTTCTTTGCAGGGAAATGCATGAACTATCAGTCTATCATGCTTATAGTAAATAAAAAAGCTGATCACCCTTAGATTTATTTACACCTTTAATGAAGCTACAAAGCAGGTGACACATGCATTCCTTGGAACACTCTAGTTTGAATAATGCATAAAAATTACAATAAATTTCAATAAAAATTTCAGCAATTCGACATTGTACCGGTATATAATTTTCTTTTAGTAACCAAGTTGCTCATCTCAAATATTAGTGTTACCAAAAGATAACGGAATTGATTCTTTTTATAGACAGTTACTCAACTCCAATCATAAACCTAACTGCTTGCATAGTTAAATGACAGTCACCACATATGATGTCAAGCTCCTGACTTTTCATTTGTCTTCATTTTAACGCCTCTTCCATAGGATAACAAGTGAAGCTATCCTTGAACCTCTTTAACTAGTTATAAATCTGTGTCCCAGACATATGTTTGTGTCATTCCATCATTAACATCTCTGAGTCATTTCCGTATGGACAGGAGTCATATCCCACACAACACAGTACTGCTTGATAATTTGGTGCTCTGCATTATCGCCCGACGTCATCATTTTTGACAGTATCTAACTAAAAGTGTTTTGCATATAAAGTCATATTATTGTCACTTGTGATGTCAAATTCATTAATTTTTACACGTGTACTCCAAATTATAGATTTTTTATTGGGGTAAATTTTGTCTAAATTGTGTAAATTATATTTCCGTATAGCCTGGAAATAAAGAAAACTTCACTCACAATGTCATATCTAAAACTAAACAAGAGGCCCAAGGGCCTTAACGGTCACCTGAGTACAACAATTTAGAGGATCCATAAACTGATAAATGAAGCTTTGTTGCCCAATAGCAAGGAAAACGGTACGATTAAGATCAACAAAATAATTGGTCTAGTATCTTTCTATCTGTCTCCCATTTATCACTATTACCATGCAGACTTTTAACAAAATGTCTATATTAGTACCTTTCACAATGGCCTCACTTGGCCTTTGAAGAACATTTAAAAAGATAAGTTATTTTTGTTTCATTTTTATTCATCTATTATTTCCAAGTCTACCTGATTATTAAAACTATGAAAGTACTTTTTGTATTATGCAATAAATGTTCTTGCATAATTCTCTTATTCTATTAACCTTTCAAATACATTATCTACAGTGATTAATTACCAAAGGTGAATGGCAAAGGGGAATAACTTCACTCAGTAGAATATAAATTAATAGAGCCCTGGCCAGGACCAGAACACTTGACTAAATGGTCCAGATGTGCAAAATTCTGGTAAAAATACCTTGCTTATTAAAACTTTTACTCTGTTTGCTTCCAATATGCCCAGGAGCAGAGGAGATTTTCAAAGAAATAATGCATTTTCACTATTTAACACAGCCCTACCTTAACACCAGAACCCATGACCTAGGGTCATGAAAATTTACAAATTTGGAAGAGGTACCCTCATCATCATAACTATGCAATTAGTTGAAGATTTTCAAAGAATTCACACATTTTCACTATATAATCAAATAGACCCCCCCCCCCCCTCACGAGAAACAACAGAACCCCTGGCTGGGACCACAAGTTTTAAAAAATTTGTAAAAGCATCCTTGCTCATCATAACTATACACTTGTTTCTTTGCTTTATAACCAGGAGTAAAAAGAAATATTTTGAAAAAAATTATGAATTTTCACTATATAATCAATAGAGCCCCCCCCCCCCCCCTTTCACCAGAACCCCTGACCCAGGGGCCATGAAATTCACAATTTTGGAAGAGGCAGCCATGCTCATTATAACTATGTACTTAGTTAGTTTATTTCGTACCCAGGAGCAGAGAAGAAGATTTTCAAAGATTTAATGCATTTTCATTATATAACCAATAGAGCCCCGCCCTAACACCAGAAACCCTGACCCTGGGGCCATGAAATTCACAATTTTGGTAGAGGCACTCTTGCTCATCATAACTATGTATTAGTTTATATCATGCCCAGGAGCAGAGAAGATGATTTTCAAAGATTTAATGCATTTTCACTATAAAATCAATAGAGCCCCTCCCCCCCCCCCACACCAGAACCCCTGACCCTGGGGCCATGAAATTCACAATTTTGGTAGAGGCACTCTTGCTCATTATAACTATGTACTTAGTTAGTATATTTCTTACCCAGGAGCAGATAAGAAGATTTTCAAAGATTTAATGCATTTTCACTATATGATGTATATAGCCCACCCTAGCACTGCAACCCCTGACCCTGGGGCCATGAATTTCACAATTTTGGTAGAGGGCTCAATTCTTATTACAATCATGCCAACAGTTTGACTTCTTGATGTCCAGGAGTAAAGAAGAAGATTTTTAAAGATTGCATTAATTTTTGTGGTTTTAGCCCCACCCCTCAGGCCCCAGGGGGGAAGGGACCACGAAATTCATAATTTTTGTTCCCTTTCACCCATAAGTGCTATTTGCCAAAATTGGTTGAAATTGGTTGAGCGGTTTCAGAGAAGAAGCTAAAAATGTTCAAATGTTAATGCACAACGAACGACGACGGAAAAAACGGATAGCAATAGGTCACCTGAGTGACTCAGGTGACCAAAAAAATTGCTGTGCACCAACCACCAATATTTGACACCCTTTAAGGAGGAATACCACATCAAAATTTATTTCAAAGATCTTTTAGAAATCCCTTTTAAACTATGGTTTCAGCATTGAAAGACCGATATTAGCTTTTAATTATTTTATACGATTTTTTTTGCATTTTTTCAGAGAAAATGAAAAAATTGTTTTATTTGCAAATAAGATGCTTTATGGTTTAAAATTTGCTATTAATAAATGCATAATATAAATATTTAATAAAATATGTTAATAAAGGCTGGATAGACACTTTGATTTTTTAAATAAAAAAATATTTATGAAAATAAAACACATAATTTGTGAATATTTTTAAACCTATGGTTAAAATCTTCATAAAACTAGTCACAACTAGGGAGAATATTTTAGTTAATCACATTTTAAAAAGAAATTGAAATGAAATTGAGAAATTTTAAGGAAAATAATTATTTTAATATTTGGACCAATCCCGATCAAAATAAACTGATCCCGATCAAAATTAACATAAAATAAATAAAATAGTAATTTACTGTCTTGTTTTTGTATTGACCACTAAGAAATCTATTTGATTATCAAGTTCAATTACTTTTTAACCTGTATTACACCTAAACAAACTAGTATTCTTGTGAAAATGTTATCTTTTTCCAATTATTAAAAATTCTGGTTAGGATCAGTTTAATTTCGATCGGGATTGGCCAAAATTTAAAAAAATTAATTTCTCTAAAATTTTTCAATTTCATTTCAATTTCTTTTTAAAATATGATTAACTAACATATTCTCCCAAGTTATGATTAGTTTTATGAAGATTTTAACCATAGGTTTAAAAAATATTCACAAATTATATGTTTTATTTTCATAAATATTTTTTTATTTAAAAAATTAAAATGTCTATCCAGCCTTTATTAACATATTTTATTAGACAATCATATTATGCATTTATTAACAGCAACTTATTTGCAAATAAAACATTTTTTCCATTTTCTATGAAAAATAGGAAAAAATTCTTATTAAATAATTAAGAGCTAATATTAGCCTTTTAATGCTGTAACCACTACTTATCAGGGATGCCTTAAAGGTCTATGAAATAAAATTTTGGTGTTGCATTCTTCCTTAAACATAAAGAAAATATCATTTCCCAACAAAGTGGAAAAAATTATTCATTCTGGTTAAATAATTTATGAAATATTCAAAGAGTTTTCAAAGTTTCAAAGCATTTTTCTGGGACGACCCTCATATAAATTGTATTTCTTAATTTCAATATAATGGTGTCATTTTATCATATAAGAGGGTTGATCCAAAAGATTGTAGAATTTCTTGCTAAAATTTTATTGTGACGTGATTAAAACAAACGAAAGACATATCTATAAAATAGAGCCATTATGCAGCAATACTGGAAAATTTTACAACATTCTAATTACCATTAAGGTCACACAAGCTTTCTTAACATGGAAACTGTAAAATTCGAAGGAGACTTTTTACTTTTATACATTTACTTTTTACATCAAGTTAGGTATTTTACATCACGTTTTAAGTGCAGAATTACTTCACCTGAGCTGAAGGCTTAAGGTCAAGATCTAGTAAATGAGTTCGAATGTCTTTTTAGTGCTAGATTCATTATGACGTCATAGTAGATTTAAGAGCCATTCTCTGTAACGACTTGAACTTTTATATAGGAGCTGTGGCACGCATAGTCTCAGAATTTCTCCAAACTCTCTATGATAAAAGTCTTTGATACCATAAACTCAAATCAGGCAGAAATTGGTTGCTACGTGTCATGGTTACCATGGCAACCTGTCCTAAAGTTTGAAAAATGGCATTTTTCAACATGTTCAGCGTCCCACAGTTAACGTTTGCAGCAAAGCAAACAAGTGGCAATGATTGTTTCTGAAAGTTGTAGGCCTGATGTCTTAAATGCATGATAAACATGTTTGGTAAATCAACTATTACATACGTTACTATGGAAACAAAGTATTCAAAAGTAATAATTTTGCTCATTTAATTTTATAAAATCAAACACTTAAGAATAAAAAAAAATTATAGGTTGAAATGCAAGCAAATAATAGACAAAGGATCCTTGTAACATATACCAAGGAAGAAATATGATATTTCTTATAGGTTGGCAATGGTTGCCATGGTTTTAATACCAAGAAGGGATTTTAAATTTACTCTATTAGTGTTTAAATCTAATCCTATCTTTTTTAAAAAGCATATTTTTATATAACTAATGATCAATTTTTAAAGACGTTCATGTGACCCTAATTTTCACATTTCAAAAAACTCAAATTCAATTCTTTAAATAGAGCGTTGCTATGGAAATAAGCCGAAAAAATATGCATGAAAATCTGAAAAATATTCTGTTTCCTTGGATACGTACCCTTGTATGTAGATTCCCAAAACTTTTATGATTGATAATCATGAACAACTAACCTGACTTTCAATTTTGACTGCCACCTAATCTCTAACTGGATGCAAAAAGCTGGCACATAGGGTTTAATATTGATATAAAATTAACAAAATCGAACATATCCCCTTCTTGGTTACCATAGCAACAGTGTTGTATTTTTCAACAAACTTTATCAATATATGATATTCAACTTTAGTTCTACCAGATAAGTACTATTCAAGGTGAGTCAAATAATACGTTTCTTGAATAAAAGGTAAGTAAATTCCTAATGCAGCAAAAAAATATCACTTTAAACAACAGGTACATTGTTTCCATGGTTACACTGCAAAGTAACAATTAATCCCATTTTTTCTTATGTTGTCGGTGTTGCAAGGTCCTAAGGATGTATATGTGCCAGTCATGAAATTTATTGTTTTTCCTGAAGATAGTAGCATTTACCCAATCTTAGCAACACATTTTGCATGGTAACCCTGTGTTACCATGGCAACCATGAAAGTTATTTTTAGAATAATATTGCCAATACCTAATTACTTAAGGTCAAATATTTTTATTGTTTTTTCTTAGGTTGTTGATTGAGTTTGATCATTTAACACCTATCATTAGTGAATATTGAGCGTTTTTCTGCATTTTTCAGCATCTAAAATGTATTCCAAATGTACCCATGGTTACCACTTACTTAGAGATAAATTCTAAATAGTTTCTTTATAGCATTAGTGGCAACAAGGTGTCAGGTTTTTGTGAGAATTGTTTGTTTGTTATTCTTAGTCTTTATTAAGGCTTAATAAAGATTCAAAGTAGCTGAAAATCTCAATTTTTCCAACTTTTCTGGCTGTTACCATGGCAACCAAGACACATAGCAACGAAATTTTATTTGATATATGTTTCTGGTGTCAAGTTGTAATAATGTGCAAAGTTTCATCAAAATCGGTGACCATGCGTGGCAAAGAAGTTTAAGTGGTTACAGAGAATCGCTATTAAACGTATATTTTCCCGTACTTTACTGCTTTAATAGAATTATACAGAAAATGAAGCACTTTCATGGAATTCAATTTGAAATCATGTTAAAAATAACCCCGATACCTATACACTGTATTAAATTTAATATCATTTCAAAGCAGAGGTCAAAAAGATATGAAAAACCGTTTTCAGGGAGACTGTAGGCAATCTGGATACATTTCCGTTCCCTGAGTTCGAAAATACTCCAAAATTCATATCTGACTTCCTTCATTTTTCATGGAAAATGCCAGTTTAAAATATGTTTTTTCGTTGAGTTTACCTAAAAATTATGTCTGGATACACCTTATTTTAGCAAGCTATATTTGTAAAGGATCAATAAAAGAACTTGTTTCTCAAATTTGAAAATTCTGTAGGCACCTTTCATTTACTAGATCTTGACCTTAAGTGAGCTTTTCTGATCAAAATTTGTCAGTTGTCTGTTGTTGTTGTTGTCATTGTAAACTTTTTGCAATTTCATTTTATCCTCCACAACCACTGTGCCAATTTCAACCAAACTTGGCACAGAGTATCCTTAGGTAAAGAGAATTCAAATTTTTTAAAATGATGAGCCACACCCACTTCCAAGGGGAGATAATTAAGAAATAGTAAAAACTGGGGGGGGGGGTAATTTAAAAATATTCTCAAGAACTACTGGGCTAGAAAAGATGAAACTTATATGAAAGCCTCCTGACATATTGTAGATTCAAGTTTGTACAATTCATGACCCCCAGGGGTAGGGTGGGATTTCTATGGGTGAATAAAGTTTTACATGGTGATATAGAGGAAAAATCTTCTTCTCAGTAGCAGCAAAGCCAAGAACACTCATTTATATGGAAGCATCCTCAGGTAGTGTAGATTCAAGTTTGTTCAAATCATGACCCTTGGGGTTAGGGTGGGGCCACAATGGGCAATTAAAGTTTTACGTAGGAATGAATAGGAAAAATCTTTAAAAATCTTCTCAAGAACAGTAAAGCTATGATTAGTCATATTTATATGGAAGCATTCTCAGGTAGATATATAGGAAAAAGAATCTGCTGATGAAGAACAAGAAGGGCTATAGTTACTGAGATGAGTGTTGTGGCCCATGGGCCTCTTGTTTGTATTGTAATTGCAGAAACTTGACCATTTTTGTATAGTCTCGCAAGTATAATGATGATAAATATGTATTCTTCAGGAATCCTGGAGGAAGGTGGTGGCCTCTGCAGTTACCCTGGGAATCCCCACCCCAGCCTTCAGCACCGCCCTGGCTTTCTTTGATGGATACAGATCTGCTAGACTACCTGCTAATCTCATTCAGGTAGAATCTCTTGACAAAACTTTATTTCAGTTTCATGTCAAAGCAGATTTCTTTGTTGTCCCATGAATTCACCTTCATTTCTTTGATTTGTCATTTTTCAAGTCTTTGAGCTATGACTGACTCACCCTTCCTCCTTGAAAAATCAAGATACATGAATAATGATTCAGGTGTAAAACACATCTTATGAAAATAATCCATCCTCACTACATGTATGAGTTGAACCATGTCATATGAAATTAACCCTAATATGTATTTATTGTAAAAAACTGAAATTACAACATTTGCGATAACTGGTTTGTTTTAGATGACTTTTGCTCTAAGATAAACTCGCATCATTTATATTAACTTGGACAAAGTGAAAGTTTTTACTTACCGGTATTTGTTTTTAATCTTTTATGAATCAGACTCCAGTTTCTGTTCATGCCCCAGCCACTTAGTCTTGCTTTCTCCATTACAGGCCCAGAGGGACTATTTTGGTGCCCACACCTATGAACTGCTGGACAACCCAGGAAAATTCATCCACACGAACTGGACTGGTCATGGAGGAAATGTATCATCCACGACGTACCAGGCCTGAACTCTATCTCACGGATTAAATATCACCTATTCTTCGTCAACATACGTTTAAATCTATCAAATGTTACATCAGCATTTTATTTAACATCACTCTGAGAAACTGACGGAGAACTTAAAAATAATTCATATCAAGTTACAAGTCCAGCTGCCATCTGTATATATTATATTTTAATGAAAAAATTTGAAGACGTGTGAACAAATTTATTGGACTTCCTTTCTTTTAAAAAAAAAAGAAGTTGGTGGACATCTGTAGATATAAATTTACGTTCTACTTATGATGCTTTGTACTTCTCTTATTGTATGTTATGCTTTTTGTTGTATTGATTTTATATTTAGGATATTTATTTTACTTTCTCAGTCTAGAATGTTACCGATCTCTGTTCTACAATGACATACACATTTATATCATTGACAGAAACAAATAAATAAATCATGAATATTCAATTTTTTTCTTTCATTGTATATTAAAAGTAGATGTGCCTTTCAAATGATGGACCAATAGAATTTTTGTTTACTGTAAACATATTTTTTTCCATGGGTCATAATTCTGCGGAATCACAACATCCGATATCTCGAAGCCTTGGTTTTTTCCCGGTCCCATCAAGTTCAAGATAACGAGGTTTGACTGTATATACCCAATTTTATACATAATCATTTTTTGTGGTAAATATTATCAAATCAATATTATATAGGACAAGTATACTCACATTCTGTGGAATCTGTTCGGAGGTGTCAGTGATAGATTTTTGAAATGGAACAAGACCTTAAAAGTACAGAAAAAATATCATTTCTAGATCTTATAAGAAGAATCTTCGAAAAAAAAAAAAAGAAAAATACATACTTAGACTTCAATACATGTATCTTTCAGGTAGTGGAAACCTCCCTTCATGACCTGAACTATTTGTCCAGATAAAGATGTGGACCAGTTCCACAACCTGGATGCCACAGTACTAGCCAGTACAACACTGTAGCAGAAAAGTCCATCTCTACAATCATCTGTTGAAACAAGATGAGTTTGTGAAACACTGATGCCCCCGTATGGCAGCTCAAGGCCAAGATTAAAGTTTTTCAAATGTGTAGGTCATGCTCCAAGGTCAAGAGTTCAAATATGTTGATACCTAAAGAAAGGTCTTTTCAAAAGAAATACACATTGAAAGCCCTAGTACCAACCATTTAGAAAATATGGTTCAGGTTAAAGTGTTTCAAAAAAGTAAGTCATACTTCAAGGTCAATGTCATAGGACAAACAAAAATGCCATAGGAAAGGTCGTCACAAGGAATGCCTAAGTGAAATATTAAAGTCCTAGAAGCAATCGATCAAAAGTTATAGGTAAGGTTAATTTTTTTTTTTCAAATTATGTCAAATTCTAAGGTCAAGGTAAAAAAAAATGTTGGTACACAAAGAAAGGTCTTGTCACAAGAAATACATGTGTGGTATAAGAAAGTCCTAGCACCCATTCAATAATTAAAGGCAATTTTTTTTTCAAAAGAAGGTCAAACTCAAAGGTCGAAAGGTCAAAAATGTTGGTACCCAAAGAAGGTCTGGGTACATGAAATACACATACGAAATATAAAAGCCTTAACTCCAACTTTTCAAAAGTTATGGCCAAGGTGAAAGTTTGGTAAATATTTGCAAAAGTAGATTACTCCAATGTCAAGGACAAGAGATCAAATATTTTAGTAGCCAAAGAAAGGTCTTGTCACAAGGAATGCACAATTGAAATATGAAATCCATAGCACCAACCATTCAAAAATTATGGGCAAGGTTAAAGCTTTTGCGGACAAACAGATTAACAGACAGAAGAATGGACACACCAAAAACTATGTGCAGCCCTGAATCTTCGAGCATAAAAGTGTGAATAAATTGGCTGCATAAGAAAACGTATATTGACCATTTAGTTAATTCTCCAGACAGCACCATTTAGTTAATTCTACAGACAGCACATATGAACTTATATTCTGTTGATCTAAGTGACAAAGAAATCTGTAAATGGCGCCTGATGCCTCTTTAACTAACACTTGTAAGCTCAGAAGAGCCTAGGTTGATTTACTCTTTGGCGTCCATTAATGAACTCCTATGCTATAAGGATCCATTTATTTTGGAAAGTTGCCCCCCCCCCTTTTTGGACGGTTGAGTTTTTAAAAAAAAATATTTAAAAATGTTTATCAGATTTTTGGGAGGTTGCCACTTCTTTTTAACCGTTTCTATATAAGTAATGTTTGATTGCAAGGGCACCAGTGACACTTTTCTTCATCTGGTCTGACACAAAGTTTGGTACGACAGCGGTGATATAAGCTATCGCAGATAAAGAATTTGAGGGGCATCTATAAAGAATTCACAAGTAGAATATTCAAAACCCTATCAAATGAATCTTCACCATCATTTTTCATATATCCATTCTGATTGAAGATTTTTTCCTTTATTTCTTATGAAAAAAAAACACGGTTTTCAAGCCACCTTTATAAATTTTCTTACACGTATGCTTTTCCATCAATGAACATACAATGACATACATATCAATTATACCATACATATTTAATATACTCAAACCCACTTTATACGATTATTCAAACAGACATATGTATAAACAATAAAAATGTCTTTCTGTGTTTGTTGGCACGGGAATTAATGGTTGCAGCTATTGCAGAAAAAATCTACAAAACCCGATTTCGGGGGTTGCGTATTTCTTCTGCAACAGATCCAACCATTAATTCCGTACTAACAAACACAGAAAGCATTTTACGGTTTAAATGAAATATGAAAATAACGAACAGTATTCAATCTCGAAAGTCCAATGAAACGATACAAATTTGGAGCACAGCAAACACGGACCTCAAAATTTAGAGGTGGAATCAGGTGCCATGGAGGAGTGAGCATCCCCTGCCGACCGGCCACACAAACCGTGTGCTCCTTGTCATGATCGGGTAATAACGGAAAAATCCGTAGACAGTTCAGTGTATAAATAATGGCCTAGCAATTAGTATGAAAAACATCAGTCAGCATTTGACTCAATGATAGGTTGTATGTGCTGACAAGGTCATGGTATCGACCGTAAAACTTACGAAAAGATGACTTCAAACAAAACTGTTGATATTCTTGTTTCATCAACTTGTTTGTCAATAGCTTGCCTCGTTTTAGAAATTGTTCATACGTAGTAGAACATGCTCTTGCGTATCGAATCAGCTGTGAGACATAAACCCCATATGCAGGTGATAAGGGTATATTGCTGCATAAGTAAGGGAAGTTGACGATTGAAAAGTTGACGTCATCACGTTTATCATAAAGGTTTGTTGTTAGGCTACCATTAACGTCTTTTTCAAGTAAAATATCTAAATAAGAAAAAAATGTGTCAGAATCTGTAGTATCTTTTATTTCAAGCTCACTGGAATATATCGAGCCGACTTATGAATGAAAGTAACTATTGTTAATTGATAATACGTCGTCGATATATCGAAATGTCGAGTTGAAGGCCACAGCAAGTGTTTTCTTCTTCTCATGTAGGTTTTTGAATAAATTCTGCTTCATATGAATACAAAAATAGGTCTGCTAATAAACATGATGCATATATATATATATATATATATATATATATATATATATATATATATATATATATATATATATATATATATATATATATATATATGTGTGGGTGTGGGTGTGCGTGTGCGTGTGTGTGTGTGTATGTGAGGGTGTGTGTGTGTAGGTGTGTGGGTGTGGGTGTGTGTGTGAGGGAGGGAGAGGGTGTGTGTGTGTGTGTGTGTCTTAAATTGATGTTAATTCAGTGCGTTGACAGTCGTAATTTTATTGTAATTCCATACTCACAGTGTAGAGATCCTCCTGTCCTGGGCACGGTTTGGGTTTCTTCATGATACCCAACCAAATCCCAACCTTCTCAAAATAACTCAGAGGCTTCTCCTTACTATATCAATGATAACGATGTACTTTCTTAATATCAATACAACACAAAATAATTTGAAAGAAAACAAAATGATTGCTTTTATTAATTGAGACCGAATAAAATATACTAGAACATATTCAGCTCAATGGCACTCACCATTTTAAATGTATAGTAAATTAAGATATCAAATGCGTATATCTAACTTACCAAAAGAAGTACTCTTAATGCTTGGCTGTTATAACTAGCATCATCAAAGATAAAACTGCAAGGATAAATGTTCTTTTTTCCAGTTAAATAAATAAAAAGCCATGATTTTATGCTTGAGAGCTATCAAACGCCATTTATTCAATTCACGGTTTAACTTGCGAAGAGACAATGCTATGACGTCACCGTGGTTAAAGGTTATTGTTACGTCACAACCCTTTATGATAATTATAACTGAAACCTTTACAGACGTTCCCTAAACGTTACATCTCCTCCTTTAGTATCCTATTCCGTACAAGCTTCATTAGAGTAAAAAAAAAAGTTCGATTTAAACCTACAAAGGATGTATTCAGAATTTCGAAAGATTTCGTCTATGAGAAAAAAAGTTTTCCGGAAAAAAGTTACCACTAAAAATCTATGTTTATTGGTTATTTTCTACCCTATACAGGCCCATAGGAAGCAAATTCACTTTGAGGGGGCAAACCCATACATTTTCAGTTGAAAGGGGGGGGGGGGGCACTATCAACTACCAAAATTCCTTGACAAGCCAAAAAAAAAAGGTCATCAGACGTTATTATTGAGGGGGCACAAGCATATAGTAGCTAAGATTTCTACAGTATTCTATATATCGGCAAATTATTGTAGGGGGGGTGCACGGCTCCCCCCCCCCCGGTTCCTACGGCCATGCTATACCCTATATATGTCTAAATCTTGCAAATTTAAACTTAAAATTTATTATTTGCATCTTTGAAATGAACCTCAGAATTGCCTAAAACAGCATTTTCTCCGTTAAAGCACCGAGTTTTGCATGAATGTTGGTCTAGAATTCCTCAGTTCAAGGCAGGCCTGCCCCTGAATAAAATTATAATATTTTGAAAGGTAAATTTGTGATCTAAGGAATAATTTCAGGTATAAAATCTACAATGTATTTTCTTCTAGAGCATTATGAGTGCTCCGGCCTTAATAAGTATGCAAATATTCGTTTTTCTTTTTACTTCTTATATTTACTTATATGAGGTTGAATAGCATACAATGATTAATATATTGACATCATCTTATTTCTCGTTAAAATGTTACAGAAAATATCAGTATTATATAAGCTTAACTTGATCATACAAATGCATGTAATAAAAAATAAAATGATTTTTAAAAAATATAATATTGTTTTAGTCTTTCGTTGTTTCGAACTGATAAGGAAATAGTCTATAAAATTAATATTTACTGATCTTGATTCTTATTTCAAATTATAAAGTGTTACTTAGTGTTAATCGCTCAAGGCTACTAAGGCATTAAGCTTAAATAGTGTAGTGGGCATGAAAAAGCACCTCAAACCTCGAAA